TTTTCTCTCTGTCTCTCTCTCCTCTCTCTCTCCCCCCCTCTCTCTCCCTCTCCCTCTCTCTCTGTTCTCATCTCTGTCTCGCTCTAGCTCTGTGGGGGGGGGCACATGTGTGCATGCATCTGTCTCTATTTCTGTCTCTTTAACCTGGAGAGAGTTTGTGTGTATGCACATGAGCATGTTTGCTCCCACTAAGATAGGGCTTTAAGAGAGATGAATGAGTTGATAGTGGGAAACTGAAATAAAAAGAATGTAAGTTCAGTGAACGATGGTCGATTTTTATTGTGTTGGCAGATAGAAGAGATTATTTGACAAGGACATTGCGGGGTCTAAGGCTTGGAGGGATAGGAAGGATTTGGAACGAGCCAAGGATGTGTAAAGTTTTACCAGACAGTTTTGGCAGATAAGCTGTAATCAGATAAGTTCATATTGAGACTGATGGGCACAATTAAATGACTTTCAGTAGCAACGATCAAGTCATTAGGAGTGGAAACAAATGCAGACAGATTTGGCTCCACCTGGGCCCTGGTAAACAAAAGCCATCAGGTCTAGGGTAGAGGTCATGGGGGAAGGATTTTTCTAGTGTGGGTATGAATACAAATGACACGACAAACCTCAAAGTACAGAGTGGCCAGGGAGACAAATATTGCTAAAGAAAGTTGATAGACCAGGAAAAGGGAGTTACTAAGTAACCAGTGGACACAGAAGAAGAAATTCTAGGTTGAGGGAGCAAGAGGGATAGTTGAAAAAGGTCAGTCACGAGAACTTAAGAGTTGAAGACTCTGGAGACAAAGCAAACACATTCTGGGTGCAGATGAGGACCTAGTTGTAACCCTGCCGTTGAGAAGCAAAGCCCTGAGGTGTTGAGGTCGGTGTAAAGCTGCACAGAAGGCTGCAAGTGAACTCGGGACACAACGGTCATCTACAAGGATTCACGACAGAACGGCAATTCACAAGATGCTGAAGTTCCTGAGGGGTCGTGGATCGTCTAATGTACGTAGAAAAGCCACTGATCAAAAGACTAATGCCTGGGGGTGGGGATGCAGACTGCCTTGCTTCTGTATTTGGGAGAATGTGCTGTACCTGAACAGTGCTGCCTTGGGATAAATGTGGACAATTGGTGGGAACAGATAGTGGTCTGGAGGCCGGCCTGAGATGGGACGTTGATGTTCCGTAAGCTGGGTGGGTGGGGTCAGAGTGTTCTTCCTCTGGGATGACTGGGGAGAGGGAAACATACTGTGTCAGATACAGCTGCTGTCCATGTAGAAGGCAGCATTGCGGCTGCAGGATAGTTAATGCCTGTTGAGTTGTACACTTTAGAGAATCTGGATCCTAATAGTGGCCAGGGACCTGACTGAGCTTGTGATAGGGAAACTGAGCTGGGTTGACTTAAGCTTATTGAAGACTGGCTGACTTTTTTTCCCCAACAATAGTCAGCATTAAAATTCTGTTTTCTGGGTTTTGGTCTTTTTTATTAGTCTATGTTAATGGTATGTAATTAGTCTCATTATGACATCTTCACACCAACTTGCACTTTCATGTCTTTCTTTTTATGGTCTAATGTGATTTTCAAAAACTTTTTATACAAGTATATGCTGCAGTCCAGTGGATCTCCCCCATACCCGGTGCCTCCCTTTCCCTATCTCTGCCGCTCCTGTAAATTCCCTTGTAGTTTACATAAGACTTTATATAGCTATGTACAATTGAGGTCCCAAACTGAGAGACAAAATGTAAATATCTGTGATTGACTTAATTGTTTAATATGATTATTTCCAGTTATTACAAGTGATGTAACTTTGTTCTTAATGGCTGAAAAAAATTTTCCATTCTGTATATGTACACATTTTCTTTATTACATTCATCAGTCAGTGGACACTATGTTGGTTCTGTGACATAGCTATTGTGAACAATGCTGCAGCGAGGGCAGATGTGCAAGGATCTCTGTGATGTGTTGACTTGAAGGCTTGCTTTTTTGAGTTCATGGGCTAGAATACTAATTTTCTTAACAAGGATAAGGCAGGAATATCAACAAAAGGCTTCAAAGAGGTGGAAGCGCTAGGGAGCCAGTAAAAACTTTATTATCATCAAAATGTAATCAATTAAACAACCTCAGGTTTCCAGTTAAAACTTGAGCATGTCCAACCCTAATGTCCACTAGTAATGTTAGCATAACCGCCTCAAACACTGGCGTAACTAATTAGGATGGCTATTGTAACTAATTACAGCACTGTCCTCATCAGCTCCAACATTGGTGTGACTAATTACAACCTGGGAGTTTAAACGACTAGAGGGACTTTGACAGTGGCGAGAGCAGAGAAGACTTAGATACACTGTAAGGCTTTTTAAAACTTCAACAAAGCAATGTCTGGAATGCTGATCCCTGTACAAAAGTGGATGGTTATCATCTTATGATCATCAAGCAGCCCACAGGGATTGTGCTTTCAGCTGTCATGTTTGTAAATGTTGGCGTCTGGTACGTGTTTAAAAGCAGATGAAGTCTTACGGAAGACTCTTCTTTTCCTTAGATCTCAGCACTTCAGAGTAATTGTCCTTGATTGTACTTTGTGGAGTTGTCCTTTGTCCTTTTGAATAGGTAGCTTGGAGGCTTGCGTATCTACGTATTGTGGTTCATCCCCAGTTGTTTGCAGTAACTTACCAGTTTTCTACTAACTATAAGTGTGCCTTCAATGTCTCCTCTTACCTGTTTTTAACTTTTATGTTTTTTTGTGTGTGTATATACAGTGTGTGTGTGTACAAGTGGTATACACATTATGACATATATGTAGAGGTCATAGGAAAACCTCAGGTGTCATTTCTGGCCTTCCATCTTCTCTGAGACAGGTATCATGCCTTGTATATATCAGACTAGGTTGTGTGCAAGCATTCGTGAACCCTCCTGTGTCTGCATCCCATTTTGCCATAGTAGCATTGGGATTATAGACGTTGCTACCATGCCCAGTTATCTTCTACATAGGTTCTAGGGATCTGAACTCAGGTCCCCACTTGAATGGCAAGTCCTTTATCCACTGAGCCATTTCACTAGCCTTGATGTATTTTTAACTGGAAATATATATTTTTCAGACTGCCTAAAATTAGTTTTAAAACAAGGCATGTAGATGCAAGGATGGAGACATTAACAGAATGAAGTATAAAAAAGATGGAGATGGGAAGAGGTGTAGAAGAGAATAAATGATAAGCAGGGAGGATTACAAACATCTTACAAGCTTCATATACTCAAGGCCAAGAGAACTCATCATTTTGGTGTGTCCTCCCATCCAGGGAAGACCTACTTATGATCCTTTGCAGATTATTCAGCCTCAACAACAGAGTTCTGTGTTGTATGTGTTCAGTGAAACCCTGTCAGTTTAAGTGGACATCTTCTGGGCTCAGTGAATATTTGCTAATTGCCTTTTTCAACATTTTGTTACTTCTCTTTATAAATTCTTTGATTCACAGCACACACCTTCCACCCCAGCTTGGAAAAGAGGATGATACATACAACAGAAATGAATTCTGAAGTCAAATAGGTGATAGTTTGCAAACTAACACTGCTTATAATTGGCATTATCCTTGGCTAGCAGATTTGCTTTCTCTCCCTGGACCTGTTCTCTCATCTGTAGAATTCAAATACCAGTATTTGCTGCCAAATCCCTGGAGAGGAGTGTTGAGAAGATGTGTATAAAAGCAACCAGCAGTCTTCGCTGTAAAGGAGGCTCTCAACAAACCTGAATGTCACATTTTATCTTGGACATCTCATCTCACTCATTCCCATGGTTCTAATGCTGTAGTTCTGCCCTATCATCCAGACTCAAGTCTGGCTGACCACGAGGAGCCTGTTGCCTTGGTCCAGGGCTCAGGAGGGCTCCTAGATACCCAGTTAGTTTGTAGTCCAGATTTATCAGGGACTGGTGGCCTTTCGGGTGAGGTTAGGGATAAAGTGTCTGTTCCTAGTCAAACTCTTCTATGGTTTGATTCATGATGGCAGGACAGTTTGAGACCTGTGGAATGAGAGACCATCATTCGATGTGCCAAGGTTGTTTTGCCTGAGATGATACACAATATTCAGACCCTGCAGGAGGTTGTTTCTTTTCCAGGTTCTCTTCTGATTCTCCTGTTAACTCCTCAGTGCTAGGACCTATGTGGACAAGGGTCTACCATGAGCCTGGATTGTGGCCATCAGGACATCACCATTTGCTGATGTGGAAGACATACTGCTTTGTACAGATGGAAGAATTTCTGGTCCTTAATAATGCTTCAGCAGCTGTCTTGCCTACATCCTCTGTTGTCTCCTTTTTTATGTTTAATAAGCGTGTGTGTTTATGGCAGGCTTGGTGTTCAGGAGCTGGGGTATTTGGTTGTCAGCCACTATTCTAGTGATAGCAGAACTAGAAATAATGTACGTGGTCTTTTCATAATCAGTAGAGAATAAATTTATCTACATCCCACAGTAGCCAGTTGTAATTTTGGTATAATTCAGGGAAGAGCCATCTCACAGGAATCCACTTTATACTCTGACTTCTCTCTGGATTTATTGTAATGATGTCTTATGTTGAGATTTGTAAAAGACTAGTTAGACTGATCTTTGACTTTACCCAGCAGCTAGTCTAGAAATTTCTGTTTTCAAAAACTGTGTCATCAACATGAAGTCATATTCATTTGTTCTGATTTAGAGGGCTTGCTGCTTCGCCTTGAAAACAGAGATGGGAAATGTTCATCCTTTGAAAGTGCCCATTCATTTTCTCTGGAAATAATTAATAATGGTTACTATGGAGAAATAGGTTTTTTTTTTTTTTTTGGGAAATGTCTTTCAAAGCATGCTGGATGATGTCAGGGGTTGTGTTGTCCCCAAGTGACCTGGGGTCAGCTAAACCTCTCCTAACAGACTCATGGCTGCTGTGCAGTAGTCCCCACCCTAGGCTGTGTAAGACACAGTGTAGATGTTGCCTTGTGCTGGCCTTGTGGCCTCGGTGGCTTATGATGCTGAGATCCATTTTTGCTTACAGGAGCTGCTAAGTCGCACATCTCTGGAGACTCAGAAGCTGGATCTGATGACTGAGGTGTCTGAGCTGAAGCTCAAACTGGTCAGTATGGAGAAAGAGCAGAGAGAACAAGAGGAAAAGCAGAGAAAAGCAGAGGTGAGTGAGGGCGGGGCCTGTATTGTACTAGGCTCCTAGGCCATCTGGCCAACTCCAGTCCCAACAGCTGCTGGGTACCAGGAATATTCATGTACTGTAGACACAATGATCTGTTTAATACCAAGTTATCAGGTTTTGCTGTCGCTGCACATTTCAGCAATGCCCAAACCACTCACTTTTGGCTTTAGGGCTCTATCCTCAAACTGCTGACAGGGATGGAAAGGGAAGCAGTCAAAGGGGAGGATTAGACACATGTGGAGGGACACAAGATGTCTTTTGTGAAAACTAAGGTAATGATAACAACAGGAAAGAAGCCATCCCCCCAGCAGGCCTGGGACAGTTCCAGACACATTTCATTGCCCACACTCCCCAAATTTGTGTGCTTTTTTTTTTTTTCTTTCCTCTTGATGGGTCGTGTGGGCGAGCCCACACTCAAGCCATCTCTGGAAGAATGTTTGCTTGTTTTGTTTTTCAGGCTCCATATATCATTGGTTAGAATGTGTCAGAGTCTATTTTGGAAAGAGTTTGGAGAATTTTAGGCCCAGAACACCTTCTTTATAAGGAACAGCATGTTTTAACTTTAGACAATGTATCCACACCTAGCATTGTGACACATGGAAAAAGGTAGTTTGAAGTTTAGGGAAACCTTGGCTTGTTTATTGACTGATCTATTCAGTAGCTCTTTGGACTTCAACAAATTAGTTATATAATTTATCTATAAAAGTATAATGTGTTCAAGACTAAATAAATTATCAATAATGACTTTGTTAAAGACCAAGTATATCATAGATGTTGAGTACTATCATGGTATTTGGCATTTTGTAAACACTTGGTTTCTCTTCATTTCCCTCTACTTAGCTCTCTCAAAAGGCAAAAGATGGAAATTGGTCCTTTCTCATAAGTGCCAGCACTATGTGCACTGACATCTGCTGTGTTTTTCTAGGTTGATGACAGAGCTCGGCCCGCTTCTAATATGCTCGTGGATGTTCTTCGAATTGTTTTTGTGTACATGTTTCTCAGTAAGACATGTAGTGCTCAAGGGAAGAGATCTGTAGTGAGCAGTGGACAAGGGCTCCTATTAAGAGTGTCAGCTGTTGGATCTCATCGCTGTCTCTGAATCACACTTAGATAGTCCCTAGCTTTGAGATCCTGACAGTTGATTTAAGTCCCAAATCTCTAGTTATTCTTTTTTGCTTATTTATTTCTATAAGGTAGTAGTAATGCTTACTATTTCCTTAGTCATTCTTAGGCCCGAAGGAGAACTTGTGTGTGTATCCTTTAGCCCTTAGCTAGTGAGGGCCATGTAGTAGTAGCTAGCTTTTATGATTCCTTACTGACAGTGTTAGTCACACTGACAACGGAAAGGTAGAGTGTGACACATCATTCACATGCTGCAAAGTCCACCTAGATTGAGAACTGATCTATGTGGATAGTTTCTTCATTGTTGTAGGGAAACAGTCAAATCTCTGGGGTTAGTCATTTTATCAGTGCTCTAGGGTGTGTGACGTGTGAGCATACATCAGGGCTCAGGTGGAATTCAGTGAGCTCTGTGAAGGCTGTACAATTATCAGAGACACAATTTAAAGTCATTTAGTGCAAAAAAATAGGGGAGGAGAAAAAGAAGTTGTTAGAAGACACAACTTGAGAAATCTAGGGTTAGAGAACAGCATGATTAGCGCCAGGCAATCTTGCCATGCCTCTGAAAGCCCTTTGTAAGGCAATCCTTGGCTCTGCCTTATTCTCAGCGAGGCTGACCCTTCATGACAAAGGTGGTCACCCATAGCTCTAGATCGACATCTACAGATACTCTTTCTTAATGATTCCAGCAGAAGCTGTAGTAGGGTCATTGTGGGTCTTATGCCTTCCTGGGCTTGACGCTCAGGTGTGTGAATGTGGGAGTCAGTTCATCTATGAAGAAAATACAGAATTAATGTGGTGTGGAGGCAGGTAACTCAGTTCCTTCTTGGGAGGAAGGAGGTGAATTTGTCTTTCTGTGATACGTGCACTAAAGCAGTCACTTCCCTGTTTGCTTGCTTTCTTCTCTGTAAGATTGTTTTTAAATCTGATTTTGAGGTTGTTTTCCAGCAGGCTGTTCATGCATGAGGCAACAAGCTCCTGGCCTCCATCCTACCAGATCACTGCCCTTCCTAGTTGCCAGTACAAATATTAGGTTTCCATGTGGAGGAATTTTGTAGGTTGTTCAAACCTGGGAGAGGCAGTGAGCAGCCTCATGACCTGAATTGCGTTCCTCTCTGCTTATAATTGAGCATACTCTGCTGGTCTGCCCAGGACCTCAGCCTCTGTTGAAAGCTGTGTGGAGCACCATTGGCTAAATACCATGAATGCTGCTGAAGCCTTACTGTTGTCATGTGATGGAAATGTTTGAGTGAGACGTTTTGCTAGCTCAGGTCACTCGTGGTTAGAATTGCATAAATAAAGGGAATGCCTCTTCCATTCGTATCCTGCATGGTTTTTACCAGTGAACGCGTATGCTCAAGGCTGAGTGTGGTTTAGAAAAGGCAACATTTGGTTTTTCGAGATAGCCAGATAGCGATTGTCACTATGTTAGATATTTTTCTTGTTGCTGTGACAAAATCCTTGATGGAAGCAGAAGTGAAGAACAGTTGTTTATCATCATCATTTTATTATTTGGTTTTTGAGTCAGGGTTTCTCTGTGTTGCCCTGGCTGTCCTAGAACTCACTCTGTGGACCAGACTAGCATAGAACTCAGAAATCTGCCTGCTTCTTCCTCGTGAGTGCTAGGATTAAAGGTGTGCATCCCTGCATCTGGCTTATTATTTATCTTTGATTCACAGTTTATGAACTGCTGTGTGCCTTGGTAAGAAAAGCATAGTGAATGGAACTCCATCCATAGTAGTAGGAGCTTGAAGTATGGCTTGTTACTTATCATTAGATCAGCAAACAGAACTCTGATTAGAACCAGGGCTTGGTTCAGTCCTAAGCAACCCTGCAGCTAAACTCCACCTCCCAAGTATTGCAGAGCCCCCTAAGGTGGTGCCACCATATAGACACTTGGTATTTAACTACATGAGTCTATGGGGGGGGGGTGTGGACTTTCATATGTAAACTCTAGCATTGCTGTGTAAAATAAAGTGAAAATAAACTTGAAGAAGACAGAATTATTTACTCGGTGTTTAAGGAGTTCCAGGCTGGCTTCACTGCAGTGAGGCAGAAGACGGCTCTAGGGACATGTGGCAGAGAAGGTTGCTCAAGCCATGACAGCTAAGAAGTAGAGCGAAATGGGAAGGGGTTGGAGCAAGATGCATGTCTCTAAGCTGGCCCTATCTATCTCCTATGACTTCCCAGTCTTACCTTGAAATTATGAAATCATCCATTGATGAAGTCATAGCCACCAAGATCCAGTCAATTCCCCCAAAATCACGTCAACAAAGCCTTTAACACATGAGCCTTCCTGAGGCATTTCAAATTCAAGCCATAACACTATCTTCATGTAACTGGGCCATTATCCTCAGACTCAGTGTTTCCATGAAAATAGGGTCAGTTCTTAGCAGAACAGAACACGCATGGTTCTGATCATACCATAAGTCATGTGGCTTCACTCAGCACCCTGCCTCTTGTCTTTGAATATCATAGATGGTTACTGGTGGCCTGTCTGTGAGGTTCTGGCTTTCCAAGGCCTAGGTCCCTAGTGGCCCATCTGAGATGTGGGTGAATACAGATGTTTGCTTTAGTTTTCATCATTAGCCTTTTACAGTATTCCCGGGTCATTTCAAGCTACTAAGATTGCCTTTTTAGATTTACTTCTGAAAGGCGGCATCACAGTAGACTGACAAGAGAAGGAAGTACCAGAATTGAGATGATGGAACACAAAGTTTCGGAGATAGAAGAAAACCTCTTTGTGGGACCCCAGAGCAGAAGCATTTTAAAAGCATGTTGGTCGGAAGGAAGGCGGAGACCCTTCGCACTAGGGTCCTGGGAGGGCACCCGATGGGTTTGAGCAGTTCTCAGAGTCCGGCTAGAGGAGAGCACAGGTCCAGGCTGTGGGGTTATCTCAGTTGATTGAGAACTAGAAATAATTTTCAGGCAGAACATACAGTGCCTTACGACATACTGTTTTCTTCCTACGCTCCATACCTGAGAAGGGAGAAGTTCTGACTTCAGAAGTAGAGCAGCCAGAATGATGGACTTGGAACACAGAGCAAGTACAGGGAAGAATGTATTTGCTCAGGGCTGAACTGGCCTGCTGAGGAGAATTTTAATGGTTTTGTTATTGTTTATTAATTTGTTTTCATGAATATGAAAGAAACTGCTAAAAAATCAATCAGTTCATAAGGATGTATAACAAAAGCTATCATAATAGCTGTCCTCCAGCCAGCAGACAGGATCCGTCCTTCAGTTTGTTTTGTATTCTCCCAGAGTTATCTTATGTAAGGACGAGTGACATGTGGATAGATGGATACACCACATGCATGCACACAGACATACAACACACCACATGCATATACTCATACCGCACGCTTGCATTCACACACAGACAAACCACATGCATATAGACACACATACCACATGTGCCACACACGCCACATGTAAACGCATACTCTGCTTCCTTTATTTTCATACTTTTCTTTTTAGAAAAGGAATGCTCTTAAACGTCTTTCCATGACAAGAATAGTAAACAACAAACCAGTCCTCATTTGTATCTATGTTTGCATATTTTGTAACACCTGACTATATCCTAATGTATTTAACAAAGTTCTTTTTTCGTGGATGTTTAAATTGTTTCCAAATTTTTGCTGTTCTGTATGATGCTGTAGTAAATAATCTTATACATGTGTGAGATTCTCACAACTGAACAGATGAGCCAGAGACACCTGTACTTGAAGTTTTGACATATTAGCAAATCTCCTTCTATAAAATATAGAGGTTATATATGCATCAGCAAGTATGCCAGGGGAGGGCCAGGCCACTGTTATACTGAGCATGAAGAAAGAGAGAGAGAAAGAACTAAGGATAATTGTGAGCAGGTTTAACAGGTAAGATGGGGTAGGGCAGATGATGATTATGGGAGGTGCTCCATAGCTGCAGACAGCTAGAACCCTGAAAAGGGGAGTGGATATTTGGCAAAGCAGGGTGAACATACAACGTCAGCTGAGATTACAATACGCAGTAGCAATTACAACCTCGTAAATGTCACCTGCACTTCATGATTGGTAGCCCAAGGATGCAACAGTGCTGCCAAAGGCTTTGCCCCATAGGAGACCTGGGACAAGAGGAGATGACAATCCTTGGAGTTAAGAGTGTTAAGTAAGTTTCGGTGTCAGGTCTGAGGACTACACACACACACACACACACACACACACACACACACACACACACACACACACACACCAAACCACAGCACATGATTAGGGAAATGTCTGAGGACTACACACACACACAAACCACACCACACCACACCACATGATTAGGGAAGTGTCCCAGCAGACCTGGAGTGTACCACATGGGAGGGAAAATAGGTGTGTAGCCAACCTATGACCTACATCTGAACTGCCTGATTCACATAAGAGCGGAAGGGGTGGGGAGGGAGCAGAAGCTGTCTGGATCTTTAGTCCACAGCCGAAGCCGATATGAATCAAACATGTTTAATTGTTTTTCTCACTCAGAAGCTAGGGAACGAGAACTGGGGAAACTGACTTGGTTTCAGTTTTGAAGCAAAACTAATACAGTAAAATGGTGGGGGTGTGAGAGTAAGTGGTCACTGGTAGCCCCAGTGAGGACAAAGCTAAGCATAGGCCGAGTGCTTAGTATAGCCAGCCTGGAGGAAACTGGGTTTCACAGGGACCCGCACCTCAGATGGAAAGGGCATTTACTAAGAACAAAAGTGCACCTGTATGAACCCTATGAGGAAGGTCAACCCCCAACAAAGGACAGTGCTGAGAACAATAGCCTTTTCAAAGAAGGTATGTTTTTTATAAGAGGAGAAAAAAAGGCACTTGATGGTTGCAGTGCCTGTAAGGAGGGCAAAGACTCAGGACAACAGTCCCCACACTGCAAGCTGCCAGTGAGGTTTGTGTTCTTTGTTTCTTCGGTCTGTTTGTTTGTAAATTTGAGAAGCAGATCAGGCCCTCCTGAGGGAGCCATCTCCTCAGCTCCGGTTGTGTGTGCTAGGAAGCTAAGCCTGCACCTCGCCATCCGCCTGCTAGGTTAGTGCTGCCCCACAGAGCTTCAGCGCTGTCAGTGTACGTGAACATTAAGGAATCGGGAATCAAGTGAGTTCAGGAAATCTGGAAGTGAAGCATTCTCATCTTAATTTTAAAGCGGGCAGAAAAGATTGGGTGGGCTCTGTGAAGTTAGAGCCACGCCTCTGAGGAGTGTGAGAGCCTTGAAAACCAAGTAGGAAGTCACAGCCGAGTGAGGTGCATCAGTGGTGAGGCTGCCCACTACTCAGCATGAGGACGGCCTTTGAACTCTGGAAGGCAGCCACAAGCTGGAAGGAGAGAACCAACTCCCCTAAGTTGTCTGCTGGCTGTGATAGGTGTATCTTGCCTCACTCCTATACATAGGTAAATTCACAATAACTAAAATTGTTTTTAATCTATTAAAAGAAGATTGAGTCACATCTGTGGCTGGGAACATAGCTTTATTGGGGCTGGGGATGAATTTGATTATCAGAATTTACAGACAAAAAAGCTGGATGTAGTGCCTGCAGCTGCAATCCCAAAGGGAGCTGAGACAGGAGGTTCTCTGGAGCTCACTGGCCAGCCAGCCTTGCCTAATTAGTGACTTCCAGGTCAGTGAGAAGCTAGCCTAGCCTCAAAAAAATGGTGGGCAGTGACAACCAAGCTTGTCCTTTGACCTTAACACCCATGTACGTACGTGCGCACACATACAGGTTAAGGTTCTAAGTTTCATCAGACCTAGCTCATTGGTTTGGCAGGAAATGTGTCTGACCTGATAGACCAGAAGCACCCACACTCCAGTGTAGTGCTACAAAAAAAGTTGCTTGAGACATCTTTTGACAAGATAGAGGGATGTAGGCTTGATGTTAAAATAAACCCATTGACATCTGAATGGGATTAGAGTTGGGGGTGCGTTACTATGCATACGCCTGGTGTATGCTGTGGTGCTCACCTGTATGCAGGTGTTGACGCGTTTGGATGTGCGCCTGGGTGTTGCTAAGTGTAGCATGGATGCAGGTGTGGAGGGAGTGTGCCTGGGCTGTGTGTCGTCTACCTCAGCTGTTGCTTCTGCTTGGATGAAGGGATCTGCCAAACTCTGTACCTCAGCTGTTCACTTAGAAGAATGGCCATGCAGTCTGAAGACAGGTCCAAGGATTGAGCAGGTCTCAGGAAAAAAAAAATGACATGTATTTTAGTTCATCAGAGAGGGACCTGGCCATGGACTGGCCTGGGCCACCCCTCCCCCATTGTGTTCACCCTCTGCAAACTTCCTTGCCTTCTCAGCTGCTCTCCCACGGAGGGCTGCATCTGCTGGGGACTGACCTTGAGTGCTTTTCTCTCCTTTCTCTTCCTTCCCACAGTCAGTTCTGAATGTGATCAGTGAGCTGCAGGAACAGATGTGTAGGCTGCAGCTGGACATCCACAGGCAGATTCAAGAGCGCCTGTTACACTCTAGGGACCACCCTGAGGAGGCAGTGGCTGATGACCATGAGGCCACGCCCCATCCCTGCAGCCAGGACTGTGCCCCTTGGGAGGGGTCACCTGTAGGAACCACACTTAAGTATATCAGAGCATGTGTGTGTGACATCTCATTGGCGGAAAGCTGGGGTTCTCCTAACCAGAACTGTGTGCAGTGGCTTCGCATGGATCTGCTGTTACCGTAGGGCAGAACTTGGCCTTTAAAAGCCTCTGTTGACGTGAGTGGGGCTCTGGGACCCTCATGGAGCAGGGTTTGAGCAGGTGAGAACAGCCCTCAGAAGGCCACATTTCCCCGTCTTCAGGAATAGGATGGAGGTGTGTAGCAGGCTGTCTCTTCCCAGTGTGTGATCCAGACACTTATCACTCCTTGTGGACTGAGTGTTTATGTGAAGCTTCGTGTCTGGTTCTCTTTGAGGAGAAAAACAGCATCATGGGAAAAAAATCCTTTAAAATCCCTGTTTAGAGAAGTTTAGCCCCACCCCCACCCCAGAGAGTAAACACAGAATTGGGGTTTTCATTTGTTATGGATAATTAAGACAGCATCTGCATTTCCAGGAAAAATAGTGCCCGCACAATAATCACAGTACAGTGAGTTCATGACCTTTTGGGCTATGTGCCAAAGAAGTCACAAGAACGCAGGGAGCAGTAGCCTGTGCTTTCTTGATTCTGCTCCCTGTGGGCACCGTGCCCTCTCATAGCAAACTGAGCAGCCCCACTAAAACAGGAGCAAAACAGGCAAGCCTCTTCCTACCTGCTGGGCGCTGGGATAGCTCAGGCAGGGCCACCAACATTACTGGAAAATGATTCTGAGTCTCTGGCAAACCCAAATAGGTGACCAAAGGTCTTAAAGTCCAGTGATGAAAATCAAGGGCATAGTCACCTTAGCCTGGAGAATTTTTTTTTCAATAGGTATCGAGAAATAGTCACCCCAACTGTAAGTCATTCTTAATAAATCATCTTATAAGATTCACATGAAAGCAGTGTGACTTCATGGTAGATTATCTCAGAGTGCAGCGACACCTAAGCCAGTTAAATAATGACTTGAGATTCAGATATTCATTCCTCAGTAGCTATGTGCCAGGACCTGCTGGGTTAAGAGGTCCACAAAGACACTCCAGGCTTTACAGAAAAGAACAGGAACTAGTCATTAGCAGCCCTACAGATAAACCTTATAGGAGACCCGTGGGAGACACCAGAGTCCTGCAGAGGGGTCTAATGTGATTTAGAGGTCTGGGTAGCTTTGCATGGGGAGGGTAAAGGATAGGCAGGTGCACAGTTAGCAAGAGAATGTTGTGTGCATAGAGGTGTAAGTTAGAAAGAGAAATTGAAACTTCTCCAGTGTGACATGTTAGAGCTTACCTGGGGTGGGACAGGTTGGTGTGAGTTAAAGTTCAGAAGCTTTGAGAAGCAGGGGAGTGCCATGATCCTGGATGTTTAGCAGTCAGTGTTTTCCACAGGGCCAAGGTTACAAAGAATAAGTCATTAGAAGATACTCAAGCTGCCATCACTCATTGCTACACCGGAGTCATGGTGGTATGTTGGGAGGGAAATGAAACATAGTATTCTTGGATGTGACATGGATAAAGCTCGGACCCAAGTGGAATTAATGGCCTTTGTGCCAGCTCTCTTGATAGGAAATAGTTGTTACCTAAAATGATTGTCCATTAAGTGAATTTTGGTTCAAGACAGTGTTGGCAGAACACACTGGTAGTTATGTATTATAATCTTCACTGTTTGGAAGGTAAAAGCAGGATTGTAAGTTTAAAGCCAATCTGTGCTACCTAATGAGTTACAGGCCAGCCTAGGCTATGAGACCCTATCTCCACCAACAAAGATAGCTTTGCTGAGTGTTGCCCCTTTATTGAGGAAATTTTCAACCAGAGGTCTAGATACTAGCTCGAATTCCTGTCCCACCTACTACTTGTACAAACGTGTATGTGTAAGTTGTTTAAACATCCCTTCCCAGTCAGGAAGCTTCACTGACTTCCTGTCCACACAGCGTCACTATGGGAGCCCTCACCTGCCTTAGCTCCCCCAGTCTCATCTCCAGTAAACGCTGATGACATCTAATCTCTGCTCCACAAGGGGCTGTTTCCCAGTCTGCCTCCTATCTCAACAGCACTCAGCATGCCTTCCCTGTTTCTCTGGCTTATCCTCCTCGTCTGAACAGGACACTCACACTGGCATCTGTATTTGGAACTCAGCATTTATTTTCTGAATCTTACTGGCTGTGCTGCCTCAGGGGATTGCCTCTTTCCTCCTGTGGGCTCCCCACCCTCAGTGCAGAGAGATGTTCCTTGCGGTCTGTTCCTTCCTCTGCACCACCAGGATGTTGCCTCCATTCGGCATCTCTGCTCCTCCCCTTCACAAGCTGCTTCTGCCTGCTTGTGACATGCCTGTGCATGAGCTGGGCTGGGGGTTCAGGTGTCAGAAAAAGGAACGACAGAATGTAAGAGCTAGAGGGTAATTGTGAGTTTTAGACTGGGAAGGTAGCTCAGTTGGTAAAGTGATGAGCACGAGACTCTCTGAGTTGCATCCCCATAACACCCATTAAACAAATACACACACACAAAGAAACACAGAAATGCCTGCAGTCCTGGCACTGGGGAGTAGAGACAGATAGATCTCTGGGGCTTGCTGCCCGCCAGCAAGAGACCTGTTCATAAAAAAGAAAAAAGGACCATGACTGAAGAATATACCGAAGGCTGTTCTCTGACCTACACATGTATGAACACACAAATGCACGCGCGCGCACACACGCACACAGACACACACACACACACAATGCAGTTTCTTCTCTCTTACGTCAGGAACTCCCTGGCCTTCATTTTTAAGTGACCACATGGCCTTTTCTGGATCACAGACAATGTTTCAAGTTCAAAGCTGCAGTCATAGAGCCTGCTACTGCCCCCAACTTCCTCTGCATGTGACTTATCCAGTTTGGAGACTTTATCTATCATGCTCTTAATCTGTCACAGCTCTGTGACTCTCTCTCTTTTTCCAGGAGTTACTGCAAGAGCTCAAGCACCTCAAAATCAAAGTGGAAGAGCTGGAGAATGAACGGAACCAGTATGAGTGGGAGCTGAAGGCCACTAAGGTAAAAGGCAGTATGAGGCACCTGAGGAGGGGGAGAGCTGGGGGCTCTGCTGGAGGGGGCTCACTCTCAGGGTTCCCCACAGCAAAACGTGTGGAAATGCAAACCCACCCCGCACAGTGGCACTCAGACTGTGGCTGGCAGGTCTGGTGTAGAAGGGCTTCTCCTCATGAGAGAGAGCCTGGGAAATGAAGTGAGAGCTGCTGAGGTATCCCAGTCATGTCTTCTGCCTCTGGCAGAAGTCCTAGTGTCCCTTGTTGGCTTAGCCAAGAAGGTTCCTAGGTAAGCTAGTGAATGGGCTGTCAGATAAGTGATAGCTGTAGGTGACACATCCTAAACAGAATTGGAGCAGAGTACAGGTGGGGGGGGAGGGGGTATGGGGAGTGTGTAGGGGGGTGAACACCAGTGTTTTGTTGGAGACATCATCTTAAAGTCAGTCTCCCTATTGTAATCAGTTTTCTAAAAAACATTGAAAACATAATAATCATGCTTTAGTTTTGGAAATGAACTCATTTCTAAAATGATAAAGTCTGGTTAGTTTTTAGTCAAAGCATTTTTACTGAAATGGAGAGTTTTTTGTGTAAAGGACACCAAGAATAAATTCTTTAGTGAGATAATTTTTTTTCTCTTTCTTGTTTGGTTTTTCCCAGTTGAACCGCAGGGGTTACAAGTCGTGTGTTAACTAGGTATGGTGGAGTACTTGTCATCCTAGCACTAGGGAAATCAGGAGGATCACTTGGAGTTTGAGGCTGTCTTGGCCTACATAGCATGCTTCTGTTTCAGGAAAGAACAGCAACAGCAAAAACAAACACACAAAGTTGATTGAATTATTTTTGTCTTGCATATTATATCTTTAAAATGTCAAAAATTAGTTGTCAAATGAACATTAGGAAACATTGAATTAAAACCCAATTATGCTGTTGTTAGTGTGTGACTCGGGGAGTGGGCTCTCTTGGGTTGTTAAGTTTGGGTGGCAGGAGCATTTACCTGCTGAGTCATCTTGCCAGCCTAGGAATCTAGTCTTTGAAAAATATATAATAAATTTCACAATGAAGAGTGTAAACACTTCCAATACACAGAAATGAGGGTTGCCGCAGACAGACCTTCATATCACCTTGATGTGCTCACAACATATTGTATGCCTCTAGGGAGGGCTGGAGAGTATGATTCAATAAAAAAGGGCTTCATTTAGGCATGAGGAGGAGTAAGGAGCTCTTTAACCACCTTAGATGAGTTTCTGCCTGGGCTGTTGCCCCTGAAGAGAAAAGACATCCGCTTTTCCCTGTGTCCTGTAGAACTGTCCACAGGTGACACCCAGTGATTCATGTGGGCATTTCAGTGTTCAGTTTGTGTTCGGGTTTTAAAAACAATGCTTTAGAGGGCTGAAAAGACTTGTCAGGCAAGCCTGGGGACCCTAATTCAGTCTCCAGTAGCATGCTAAAAGTCAGGTGTGGTGACTCTTACAACTGTGACCCCATCACTGAGGATGTGGAGAGGATGTGGAGGCAGGTAGATCCCTGGAGTCACTGACTAGCCAGCCTAGTCTAAGTGGTGAACCCCAGATCACAGTGGGATACTGTATTTCAAAGAAGAAGGTGACCATCTCCTGAGGAACTACCCATCTTGTCCTCTGTCTACACACAAACACGTGCACACGCAACCATGTGCACGCGCACTCTCTCTTGCATGCATGCGTGCATGTGTGTGCACAGACACATACTTTTGAACAGAATTATTGTGAGTTTGTATTTTTCCAAAGTTAATTGTTAATTATTAAAAAATAATTCTCATTGTAAAAAATTTCAGACCATAAAATAGAAATTAAAGGAGGGCAGTGTGGTGATACTCCCAGCACTCAGGAGGCAGAGGCAGGCAGATCTCTGTGAATTTGAGACCAGCCTGTTCTACATTGTAAGTTCCAGGCCAACTACAGCTATATAACGACATTGAAGAGGTGGCTCATCAGTTAAAGACCACAAACTGCCCTTCCAGGATACTCAGGTTCAATAACCAGAACCCATATAGCGGTTCTTATCATCTATAACTTTATTTCTAGGGAATATGAAACCCTCTTCTGACTTTTGCTATCACTGCCTGCATGTGGTACATAAATAGACAATGCAGGCATGACACCTGTACACACAAAATAAGTTTAAAAACATTTTTAAAAGAAAGAAAATAAAAACCATCCTGATCACCAAGCCTCTATGACCATTGTTAATATTTCCTTTCTTCCAGGTATTTTTCTCTGTAGTCCTCCTTCCTCTTTTTCTCTCCCCATCTCATTTCTTTCCCTCTTCCATTTCTTCCTCAGTTTCTGGTGCTGACAACTTACAATGTATATTGTGCTTTTTTCCACTTAAAAATTTATGCTTCCTTAAGTTAATAACTGAAAAAATGCTTAACACATTGTTAGTTTTATAATCATGTTCTTATGTTCAAATGTAAAAAACAAACAAACAAAAAAAACCCACAAAACCAACACACTTAACCATTTTACAGATGATAAAATGGAGGCCTAAAGAGATTGAGTAACTCTCCCACACTCACTGCCAGTCAGGCCTCGCCTGGCGACCTGCTATTGTCTGAGCACAGACAGCCTTGTGTGTGCTGTGCTTTGGTGTCATCAAGACTAGAAGCATTGTTTTTCCAGAAGCTCAAAACTTTCCACTACGGCGCTCACTCCTGCAAGTCCAGCCCCAGTGAAACCTTTGAAGTTGCACACATCACCCTTTGTTGAAAAACCAAGGAACTCTTTTCATTTTAATTCACGAAAGCTCTCTGCGTTGGCATGTGTCTCTGCCTTGGCATGTGGACCTGTGAGATGGCAGCTGAGGAGTCTGTAATGATTACCAGGTGTGGAGCACCTCCTGCCAGAACCCACCCAGCCCTTTGTACACTTTCCTCTGTTAAGTCAGAAAATGCATTGGGTGTATTTGATGCTGGTTTGTTGGTGAGGACCACAAAACTTCAAGTGGCCAGGGTGAGGTTCCGGCCTGGGTCTCTCGTGTCTGTGCTTTCCCTCCCCTTCCTGCAGTGAGCCCTTCTCCTGAAATCCTCCCTGTGTTTGTAGGCTGTTCAGTTTCCTCCGTAAGCTTCCTCAACCCCTAAAGGTGACTCATCTCCAATGCAAGCAGAGTTTGTCACTTGAGTTTAGTAAGGACAAGGCCCTGTAGGAATGTAGAGTGTCATTTCCTGCCCTGAAGGAACCCAGAGCACCCATCTTAGCTTCACTGCCCAGCTGCTGATTGTTTTGGACTTCTGGCAACAGAGTGCTGGTTTTTATGGCTGAGATAGCTTTCATGGTTCTCAATAGGGCTTCACATTTGCCTGTGAGTCAGATAACGTGAACCCCAAATGATGTGTGGTCTGTGGCTGCCCATCTCAGTAAGCTGGACGGAATAGTCAGACTTGGCTCTTTTGATTTTGGGTAGGGCCTGGAGTGGAGGGACAGGGCTCCATAGTGAGCTTTGCAGGAAGGAAGTCTGACCTTTCATCTCCTGTCTTTCTTTTACATCTCTGTCCCATTTAGAGGGTATAAGGGAAGGTTTATTCAGAACCATTGAGAAGGTTTGAAGAATACCAGGTCTCTTAAGAGTGGTCTTCATTCATACTATTAATGCTAGCATGCAGCCTGGAGCTCTCTATTGGAGTTCTGCATCAGAGCAGACTAGGTGAGTGAGTAAAACTCTGCACTGGAGCAGCAGGCTGGCTGATGAAGTCCTGTGAAGAAGCATGGAGACTGAGGTCTGCGAAGTTCCTTTGGAGCAGGCAGGCTGAGTGGGTGGCATTCTACATTAGAGCACAGGAACTCAGGTGGCATCTCTTGAAGGGGAATAGTTCCCATAGCTCATATATTTGAATGTCTAGTTCCTAGTTGGCAGACTGTTTAGGGAAGGATCAGGAGTTGTGGTCTTATGGACGAGATGTATAATGGGCAGTTTTCAAAAGCCCATTGAGGCCCAATCTCTTTCTTGCTCTGCCTCCTGCCTATGGACCATAATGTAAATCTCTTAGCTACTTCTCCAGCAGAATGCCTGTCTGTTTCCTGCCATGATGATAATGGATTAACCCTCTGAAACTATAAGCAAGCCCTTAATTCAATGCTTCCTTTCATAAGAGTTGTCTTGGTCATGGTGTCTCTTCACAGCAGTAGAACAGTAATTAAGACAGCATCCTTGCCTGGATAGTCATTGGCTGATTTCACATGGAGTCATGAAAGCTCTTGCTTTCTCCCAGTATTATCAGGAATTCTCGATCCTCCATGGGTTCTTATGGGTCTACCTGAGATTTGCAAGTAGTGAGAACAGTGATTGCAGGGTACTCAGTCATAACACTGACCAAGGCCTGGCAGGCTTTAAACTAAAAGGGGAATTGTAGGGATTGAGGCGCCTAGGGTGGGAGGCTGACCTCACCAAGATCGAGTTTTGGGGGCTGGGTGAATCGGTCTGACACACACCAAATATGAGGGGTCAACAAGTCACACTAAGAATGCTGGGAAAAGGTAGTAGGATATTTATTCAGATAGAAGTAACTTACACGAGAAACTGGGAAGCTGGGAAACTCTCCCGAAACATGGCCAGCATTCAAGGAGAGAGGGCCAGGTAGCCCTCTTTCTCTCTCTATTTATTCTCCTCTCCCTCACGTACCTGTAGCCATGCCCCAAAGGTCATGGCTAAAGCTGCAGGTACGCCTCTCTCTACTGCAGGCAAAAGAGTTGCCAATAGGACCATTGCTCATTTGATTCTTTGCTGTTCTCCAATGATTGACTTGGACCCCATGTCATACCATGGCAGCCAGAGTTGGAATATGTTTAGGTTCCTACATGACAGTGGGCCGGGTAGCTGCCTTTGCTGAGTGTCCTACGGCTCAGAGCTCAGTTCTAACCCCTTTCTTGGTTGATGCTCCAAGAAATTTATCCTAAGGGAAAGAACAGGATGGAAAAATTGTAACATTTACTGTGCCTTTAATATGTGATAAGTATTAGACCTAATCACTCAGAAGTTATATTATGTAGTCTTCCCACAGGCGATTACTTGTCCAAGGTCAGCCAACTGGGATGTGAGAGATTCTAGATTTGTTTGGCTCCAAAGAGCCTCTTGGAGTGAGACAGGAAGAGCTCTGATTTTCTAAAGAGTCTGGAAAGCATGGATAACCATGCATAGCTCTGTGTGTGAATTGTAACCTGTTAGACATAGTGGAGATATGGGAACTGCCCAGTGCCAATGCCAGGATGTGCATGTGTGGATTTGTGTGCAGTGTACTTATGTGTTTTCCCTTAAAAAAAATACATACCAAACACACTCTAAAACTTGTATGTATGCACACAGCAAGCATGCAACTGTGCCTGGAGGTTGGGCAAAAGTACTGACTGTACAAAAGGAAAGTATCTAATGAGGGGACTCTTAATTCACCTCAAAATCAGCAGTAGTGATTTTATTTCCACTCTATTTCCAAGCGTGGTAGAAAGATGGAGTTATATATGATTGTTAGAATAGCATATCTAAATGAGTATGTATATCTTGGGAGAGGAAAGACCACATGCAGAATTGGTGGTCCAACTGTGCAGCAGGGACAGAGCCTTACCAATGGCCTCAGTTTTACTCAGAGCAGGGAAGAGAAAGAGCTTGATTAGATAAGGGAATGAAGAGACAGAGCAAGATTATGGTAGGTAGGTGAGTGGGATCATTCTGCTGGGTTCCACCCAATGGAGATGGTAGTTATGCTCTCACTCCTTACCTATGTCTTTTACTCCTGTAGTCTCTTGGGGCCCAATGGGTTCTGTGCTATGACATGAGGTGCTTTGTAAGGATCTAGAATTCTCTCTGACCTGGAAGGGACTCTCTGTTGTTTCTTCAGGCTGAGGTAGCCCAGCTGCAAGAACAGGTGGCCCTAAAAGATGCAGAAATTGAGCGTCTTCACAGCCAGCTCTCCCGGAGTGCAGCTCTCCACAGTGACCATGCAGAGCGAGGTAACTAAATTGATGGCGACGGAACACGTTAATTTTGCCCCTGAGCCCACTCTTATAAGTGGACATGTGTACGTGAGTAACATGTGTGCTTGCATACGTGGTGTGCTAATGTTCATGCACATGCATAAATATATGTGAGCATGTGCTTATGTGTACATGCTGCTTGCCTGTGAAGCTGAGCTCTGGTGTGGTATCATTGTCATGCCCCTACCTTATCTAGAACACTCATCTCTGAAGGCTCTTCTCACAATGTTGACTGAAGCTCTGTGCAGCCCCAGGTAGCCCCCTCTGGAGCTTTTTTCCCTAAAACCACTTGACTTCTGGGATTGGAAGGCTTTGCCTTGATGTTACCACCAAATAGAAGGGTTAGCAGTTCATCCACCTGACATTTGTACAAGGCCCCAAGCTTGAAGAAGAAAGTTACTTCCTTGTCATCTTTAGAGTCCTACTTAAATGTCATTTCCCAGGAAGCTCCTCCTGGCTACCCAGCTTCAAGTGAGTGATTCTTCTTCTGTTACTTTCAAATTCAGCAGCCTCTTGGGAAGAGTTATTAGAGCTCATTCTCACAGCCAGTGGAGTCTTAGGGGTCAGCATGAGGGCGGGAAGGTAATTCCAGATAATGACTGTTAAATATGGATGCAATGGCCAGAACCCAAACCTAGCTGAGCATAAATGACAGCCTAAGAGAAGAAGATACCTGCTAAAGGATGGGGAGGAATAAGCCTGATGGTCATCAATTCCTTTTTCAAGCTCAGTTTTACTATTACAAGGCTACAAAATGTTTTCACTCCAGCTGGAAATTCAAGCCAGGCCATGCTGAGGCCAAGATAAGATGAAACTGTGGTAGCAGTCCATAGGACTGACATTGTTCAACATCCAGGTAGCTAATAGAGGAGCCAGGATGTATGTGATCTTTCTAGATTCTTGGAGAATTGAGACAAGCATACTATGTATGTTAAGGAGAATGGCTATGTATGTGGATATCAGAGGATAATTTGTGCGAGTCACTTCTCTCCACCATGTAGATCTTGAGGCTCAAACTCACATTATCAGGCTTAGTGGCAACTGCATTTACTCAGGGAGCCATCTCTCTGTCCCTTTTCCCTTAATTTTTTTTTCCTTTTGGTTTTGGACTGAGCCCAAGGCCTTGTGCATAGAAGACATTACTCTGCCACTAAACCATATCTCTACCCTTTTTTTTTTTTAAGGAAAAAATTTTTTATTTTGAGATGGTGTCTTCATAAGTTTCCCAGGCAGGCCTCAGACCTTGGATCTTCTACCTCACCCATGAAGAGTTATGATTATAAGAGTTATGATTATAGGCATGTAACTCCATTCCTATATATAAACATTTCTTCAGTCAGATTTTACAATTTTAAATTTAACCAAATACTAAGCCTTTGTATAATGCCCAGTGTCCATTTATCATCTATAAATTGTTTTGGATTTTATTTTATAAAAATTTCCTCTGTTTCTAGTTTGTCTGACTGCATGGTTTTCCCCTAACTTAGTTAGGGTCCTCGGCATATGTCTCCATAGAATATGAATATTTATGTTCTTAGGAGATGCTGTTTGTGAAAGGGTTATGATTCCTCTCTGTCACTTTTGAGTAAATGCTATTTTTGTTTTGCCCCTAGATGCCTCTCTAAAAGAGAAGACAAAACACTAGGTTATTCACAAATGAATTTAACAAAAATCTAATGAAACCCGCTGTGCCAGACACCATCCTAGGTTCTTTCAGCAAATAAAAAGGAGCCGCATTCACTGGTCAATCTTTATGTTTGACCTTGAGGCCCATCAGGATATGGCAATAGCTGTCAGCATTTGTACAAATAATTCCTTTTGCATGTCAATTCTTTCAGACCAAGAAATCCACCGCCTGAAAATGGGGATGGAAACACTGCTGGTTGCCAATGAGGATAAGGTGAGATAATCACTGTGATACCCTGTCCTTTCCTTTGCAGGCACCTCTAACTCTATTTGGTCTCTTCTGGTGTCTGCTCTATTGCACAACGGCATACTAACATTGACAGTGTATATTAGGATAACAGCTTTTCTCAGGAGATTCAACTTTAGTTCTTGTTTATGTGGCTGAGAAGTTTACCCAAACTCAGTCTCCCAAAGGCAGCTTAGAGCCCTGCCTGTTCATGGTGGTGTGCTGAAAAAATAATAATGTCAGAACTCTTAAAAACTCAGCACTGCGTGCAGTTTTCTCCTCACAGCAGAACTATCATAGACACCTGGCAGCATGCAGTGCCTTCTATCCTGCTCCCTTATAGTCTTCATGTCTGACTCTTGTATAATCGTAAAATAACCACAGCCTTACATTGAGAAACACTTAGCTAATGTAAACAGTCCCACATTCTCAGGTAAAGAAAGAAACTCAAAATTCTTAGATAATTTTGCACAGGGTCGTAGTGGATAACAGGCTACCCACATATTCCAGCATCTATGTGACCTAAGTGCCCAGACTGTAGCCTTGAAAGAAAGGACCCTCTTTTGGAATACACTCTGTTGTGTAAAATGCTTCAGACTACCAAGGGACAGGTGAGGATACTGGGATATGTCTTATGTGTGTAGCTCCAGAGGGTGACACAGGAGTCAGGGGCATTCTTCATTCACGCTGTTTTAGGAGCATAGGAGGCAGAGAGGTATATTTCTGCCTCTTCAAGGGTATGTCAGTGACTGCTGACTTACACCTTCAGATAGTGCTTTGAGTGTCTATGGATGCCAGTGAGGCAGACACTAGGGCCAGATGGACCCTGATGTTTTCTTTTGGGGGTCCTTGGTCTTACGGGATTTTCTTCATTATGTTCTATACGAAGCTAACTAGGGATTGGTGGTGGTATTAATCTTGATCTGCTCTTATACCATGGCAGGACCGCCGGATAGAGGAGCTTACAGGACTGTTGAACAAGTACCTAAGGGTGAAGGAGATTGTGATGGCAACTCAGGGTAAGAGGAGGAGGAACCTCATTTCCCCCGAAAGTTATTTCATCTTCTGTGTTAGAGACAGGCGAAATTCCTTTGTCCCCTGATTGGAGATGTATTGGAGAGCAGATCTGTGTAGACTCTAGGATGGTGCAGATGGTGATTCTTAGAAATATCATCAAATGAAACTTCTAGGAACTGCCCAAGAAAACACAGCACTCAGTTTTGGCTCCTGGGATTCCTCACCATGAGGGAGTCTCAGTCTGTCTTCTTGGGATCTTGTAGAGACCATGGAGTCAAACTGGGTCAGTCAGAGCCCTCATGGGCTTCAGAGATTTTGTGTTTGTTACAGGATCTGAAGTTCTCTAGAGATACAAAAGATAACATGGGGGCTTCCATGAGTTTCCAGGTACCCAGGTTGCCATAGAAAGGCTTGTATTTCGTATTTACCACCCAGACCAGTGCAGCATATAAACAATGCTTATATTCATATAATCACAGAGGGGCACTTGTGGCTCATGCAATGGGACTGGCCCTCACTGCAGACCTTGCAGGAGTAATTACTTGACACAGGAGAGTTGTTTGTAGGATGTCTGATTCTGGCTGAGCTACTGATTCGGTTTGGAAACAAACCTTGTCTCTGTTGGGATAGGAACTGACTGATTCCTGCCAGGCTCCACACAAATGTCTCAGCCTCTTTAATTCTTTGTTATCTTGGCCCAAATACCTCATGGGATCCAATTGCCCTTGACCAAGAAATAAGAAAGTTGGAAGTGGCTTATCTCTGTTCCAAGGATGAACTTTGACTTTAAAGTGACCTTCATGGCAGCCCTTGATTAGATGTCTTGAAGAATTTTCCCAATCACACTATTACTGTCTCTTTATGTAGTAATTGTTTCTTTTTTTTTTTTTTTGTTCTAATCAAATGCCCAACAACAAGTGTGATAAGGGAGGAAGAATTTACTTGAGTCACAGTTTGAAGGCACAGTGTGACATGGTATCAGGAGTGTATAGGGACACCTCTATTCTAGTTGACCAGGAAGTGGAAGGACTGGACAGAAATGGGCTGAGCAGAAACCTCCAAGGATCGCCTCTCGGCCCAGCAGCCCACATCCTCCAGTGAGGCTCCACCTCTGAAAGGCCTCCCAGCCTCCCCAAATAGCAGTGCCAGCTGAGAACCAAACAGGGACATGCCATACTCAAACCAGAACACTTTGCTTGTGTCTTAGTCTTTTTGTTTTTGAGACAGGATGAGCCAAACTCCCAAGCAATCCTCAGTATTTGTTGTTGAAGAACAAACACCATGGGGGTTTTGTCTCACAATAGTGATTTACCACCATTGCTTTACTATTTCCAGGGCCTTCGGAGAGAACCCTCTCAGTCAATGAAGATGAAATGGAGGGAAGCTTCAGAAAATGGAACGCTACAAATAAAAACTCAGAGGAAGTAGTGAAACAAGAGGTAGCACATTTCTTCCCAAAGTGTGCAGTTTACTTGTCTTTGGCAGCTTGCCTTGACCTAGAGAGGCATCTGGGAGGCACCTGTCCATTATTTATCTTAACTTATGAATAGTTCAGTCCAGGGAATGATCCTCAAGCTTTGGCAAGAAGGTTTAGGGAACAAGAACCCAGGCTCAGGACAGCATGGTGGCCACTGGAACTCTGAAGGACAGGAATTTTCCTCTTTAGTTGGCTTTCTGTTTATCTTTCCTCTCTGGCATGTAGCACAGAACAAGGGTAGTGTTTTGTGTTTTATTTACCAAGGATTCTCTAGATTCTGTAATCATGACTTATTCCCGGTAGATTTCAACATATTTAATGAACGAGTGAGTCTGTCTGGACCAGAGAGACACAGGCATATCCCACAGCAGTGTATTCCTGCTTCTCACATGCCTCTGTCAGCCCCTCTAACTGGCTCGTGGAGTTTCTTTTCTTTGCTTTAAAATCTAGTCCTACTGTGTCACTCTCTAGAACTTGGCTAAACACAGATAAACAAGTTCATAGACTGAGGCCTTGATGGGGGGTAGATGCTACACCAGGGTCAATAGACTTATGAGCTCTAGAGAGATCAAACTGCAAATGATTGTTTAACAGTCCAGCTTAATCATTTCTTTAAGGAAGAACCAAAAGTCATACAGTGAGCCCCCTCCCCCCATTATTGACTCCATGAAAGTATATTAAGTTGCTGGTGGTTATAGCTGAGTAGTAATCAGAACTCGCTCGGTTTGTCTCGTGGTCACTGACATGAGCAGTGTGCGTGGCTCAGTTCTAATGACAGCCTATATGGGTTCTTACTTTACTACAATGCTTTACTACAGAGTTTCAGAGAGGGTCAGTAATATTCTCTCTAAGTCACCTTATGAACCCCAAGGAGAGTAAGATGTAGGTCGATAGCAGAACGGGGCTTCAACCCGTATCTGTCTGACGAGCAAGCTCTGGTTTTTAATCCCCATGCTATGCTGTTAGAGATTTTCCTAGAGAAAGCCAGAAAGACCTGATGCTTGAGGGGAGGCAGGTTCTGTGGCCACTGCGTCAGTGAAGACTGAACTGTGTTCTGTCATCCTGTTGGCTCAGGCTCACCCTGAGATGGTGCTTTCTTTCTTACCTTCCTAATGAACCCCTTCTCACTTCTCCACATCCAGCCCCAGTGTTCTCCCCTCTGAAGCCTTGTCACAGTCTACCCATGGAGAGGGAACTTTCTTCCCCCACTTCCCATGTGTGTCATTGGTGTCAGTGCCGCAGCAGGTGGCATAGTTCCTTTATCCTTGCATATTAATCTGCCTCCTGGTGTGGGCTCTGCTTCATTCCTACTATAGGACTGGCAGGCAACAGATGATGCGGACACCTGCTGAGTGACTGTGTCACTAGGGTCCTCTCAGTGAAAGTCACAGAATTTGACTCTGGCTCATGTAAACCAAAAGGAGGTGTTTTAGGTAGTATGGGGGAGTGACTCACTGAATAAAAGAAGGTAAGAGACAAGCTATGGAAGAACAGGTTTTGGGACCTAGACTTAGGTCTAGGGTCTAGAGCTTAGGGACAAAAAGTGATTAGACCCTGGTGGCTTCATATGCCTAGTGTCTTTCAGGGCTTGGTGTATTACTGGATCCCTGGTGAGGTTTTTTTTTGAAAGAGGCAGAAATCTATTTCTCAGAGCAATCATTAAGGGGAAAGTTTGGTTCCCAAATGGCAACTGGCTTTCATTGCTGCTCTTCTGTTTGTGAATCAGGTGTCACCACAAGACAGCTCTTCCACCCCAATGCCACCTCCTTTGCCACAGAAGTCGTTGGAGACCAGGTAAGAAAATTGAACATCTTACTCTCCTTGGGGTTCATAATGTGACTGGGCAGGTGTGGTGAGCATAGCCCCAGGGTTCTGGGCACAGTGTCAATCCTCCTGGCTATTGAGGGGATTCCTCTCCCATAGGCTGAGAGTTGCTGACGTTGACTGACCAGTCAGGGTACTTGCTGGCTATCATCCCTCCATGTGCTCTGTGGCACCTGGTAACATTGCCCCTTTACTATGCATTTGATGTCCTTATCAGAATAGTCCTTATGATGACATGGGTCCCCTGAGCTGACTGCTCAGGGCAAGTAGAGCCAAGATGGAGGGCTGGAGGATCCTAGGCAATGCTTCAAGCTGTGGCTGCCTGGCTTTCCTGCCTCCTTTGGAGGGAGGGGCCTGCAGCTTCCTGCCAAGATTACTTTTGGATTTCAAGGCCAGCCAACGCCAGCATTTTTCCTCCACCTTGAGTTTGTAGACACTGCAGCTCCTCTGAGAGACTGCGTAGTTATATAATACTAGTACCACTCAACTGTTGGGCCAGGTTTTCCCCAAGCTCTTATCTTATATGTGGGTTACCTACTGAAAGGGTGATTTATCTAATCTTTACTCAAAGCCTAAGACAGGAAGCTGGTTAAGAATCTGACATGCCACATGCATGAATGACACCACATGACTCCTTCCATAGTCACTATGTGTAGAGAGAGAAGCCTTTTCCTTGCTAGCTGCTTGGTTTTTCCCCACCTGTCACCTGGGCTCTGCCAAGTTGTAGTCTCCAAATAACACACAAGACGCTGTATTAATTATGAAGCTGTTGGCCTTGCTTGTTTCTTACTGGCTATCTCTGACTTAAATATTTACCCTATAATTGTTAATCTAAGTATTTCTCTTACCGGAGAAAAGTTTCCGGGCTTCTTACCCCTATGGCAGTTACATCTTGACTCCCTGTGTTTTTCCTATCCAGAGTCGTCCTATCTTGCTTCCTTATTGGCCAACAGTGCTTTATTGACATATACACAGTACTTCCCCATCACTATGATTCCTTCCTTCTGTGTTTCTCCAGGGCTCAGAAGAAACTTTCCTGTAGTCTGGAAGACTTGAGACATGAATCGGGGGATAAGGTCAGCTCATTAACCAGCTGTGCCAAGTATCGAGTTACTCCTTTAGGCCCAGCACAGTGCTGGGATGTGTAAGTGGACACCAGCAGGTTTTGGGGAACATAAAAGAAGGAGGAATACGTCTGAACAAATCCAAGGAGGGCTTTGTGTCCTCCTGTGTAAGAATGGACTTGACCGTGTGACTGGGCCCAGTGTTGAAGGGAATGGTGGAAGGCTTTGAGCTTAGCAGTGACTGAGTACCGAGTCCTGTCCTGACGGACCCTCTGGGGAGCCATGCTTCCTACTGTGCCCTGGTCTCTATCAGAGTAGCATGGTAGAAACCCACAGAAGTTGGAGTTGATAGGAGCCAACCCTCAGCCATATGCCTCTTGCCGCATTGCACAGACTTCTGGCACCTGCCCAGGGTATCTATTTAATGGTTAGACAGTGGCTTGTCTCCTCTGTGAGTGGTGATCCTCTGACATGAAGGGTGGGGGAGTGTACTCCTCAGTGCATCAGATGTAAACAGGCAGGTGGTTCTGAGCTGCTGACTGGGACTAACACAGCTTCCTTTTTCTCCTCATGTTTGAATCCTTTGTGTCACTCCATAGTGTGTCGATGGGAACCAGCTGTCCCTGGTGGGAGAGCCCAAGGTACATTCAATCATGTTTTTATTACCTATCCTTGGTTGTAATGTTTGCTGGAGTATTTTAACAAGGTACAGCTTTTGTAGCCTTAAATACGTTAACTGTAAGAGTCAAGAAGGAATGAGGATAGGGGAAGTGTTTTATGTGCAGTCCATATGCATAATGCATTTTCTCTGCCATTATCTGTGCTGTATCTTGTATCATGATTACCTCTGCTTTGTAGGCTCAGAGAAACTAATGTTTGAAGAAGAAGGTTTGGCTTAGTTATACATCTTCTGCACAGAAGAATGTTGGCAACACTCCTCTTCTGTGCTCATATGCCCTCAGCAAACAAGTTATGTTGTAAAAACTCCATTAGAACCAATTTTCTCCTAGAATACTGCAGTTGCAGATGATTACAGTTCTAGACTGGTAGACCAATATTTCCCCCACCATACACGGAAGCTTCATATAATTAGTGTCAGCCCTACCCAGCCACTATCTATAGCATTGTAAGGGAATGCACTGTGCTTTCTAAAGGAGACCGAAGGCTTCACTGCACGTGCCTTGAGAAGCCTTTTTATACTTTCACACCACTATGGCAGATTGGGGACATGTCTGCTCTTCTAACTCTTTGTGGAAGGAAGATCTCATCTGCACCCTCATATCTTGGTAAAAGGCTTCTCTTCACTTTTGTACTTGTGGCACTCAGGCTTATGGTTAGCCAGCCTTTCCTCCGGCCGTGGAGATTGTTGAACAAGTGTCTGCCTGCTCTTCTGTCCTAATGCTTTGGAGACACGGTGTCTTGTGTTTTGTGGCCTCTGGGACCCAGCCATCACTCTTCTTGTCTCAGCTTCAGAGAAGCCATTCACACTTATCTCTAAATACCAGATGTAAGTGACTACTTGCTTCTTTGGGGATGCAGCTGGTTCATCATTCATGCTTTAAGACCGTGGAAGATGAGCAATGCAGGAGTGCTGACAAAGAGTACACATTCCAGGTTGAAACTAGCTCTCCCACACCTTTGATCATAATTACATTCTTATGAAACTTCACTTAGCTCAACATGACTACCTCTTCCCTCTACACACACCACCAGCACCATTCCATAGGTGCAGCACTTTCACCACAGTGTCTCCTTACTGTGGTCCCTGGGCATCAACTAAGGCTCTCTATGCTGAAGTATTCCTTATGTCACAGTCACCCTTGCTTTCTAACTGCTAGCCATGTCTCCTGCACCCGACTTGCTCTCCTGTGGAATGAGTCAGTCTCTTCCACTCTCAACACTAGAATTGAGTACCCCCAGCCCTCTGTAAATACTTTCTTCTCAGAGCTGACATTGTCTTCCCCTGTATGTGGGTCAGCAGACTTAAAAACACTCATTCTTCAGCAATTCTTTAAATTGCACCCTGGGACAGATAGGCCTGATATCCTAGATGCAGCCTGTGGTATGCCTTTCTGAATCTAGGGTCTGTTCTTCTTGATTGCTGGCCTGCTTGGACCTGGCCTGTTATGTTTTCTATGCTTGTGTTTGTCTGCTAAAAGCTGTCAGCTAGGCTCTGTGCATATTATTTTCAGCTAGCCCAAGGGAGGAATTGTTATCCCCCTGTTAGAAAGGCCAGAGGGTTTGAGAGGTTAAAAAGAAAGGGTTTTCCTTGAGTCATTCTGACCCAAAGCTTAGCCCTCTCCATGCTGGCAGGCCACCCTTCTATTCTGATTTAAAGAAGCTGGGTGATAGGTTCTGCTCTGTTCTTTGGCTCTCCACTGCTGGGGTTATTCTTGAAGACAGGAAACAGGACTGGGGTCAGGTCTTCCTGTCTGCTTCTTGTCCTGCCTTGACATGGCACTTCTTTCTCCAGTAGTGAGTCATTCCCTCAGCTTTGAGTTTTTGCTGAAGCAGAGACCAGAGAGCCCACTCCATTACCCTCTGTTAACCTTATAGGTCTGGAGTCTCACTCATTGGCTTAGGGATTATCTCCTTCTACCTCAGATCTTCAGCGTAATCTCTGGGTGGTCATGATCAGAGTCTTTCTGCTGTCCTGGCCTTATATTGGGGGATCTTATATGGTGATACAACACAAAAACCCATATTGAAAGTCCTTCCCCGTTTTGTATTTCTTTTTTTGTTTTTTTTTTTTTTTGTTTGTTTGTTTTTACGAGACAGGGTTTCTCTGTATTATTTTGGAGGCTATCGGGGTCCAGCCCGGCCTCGAACTCACAGAGATCCGCCTGCCTCTGCCTCCCGAGTGCTGGGATTAAAGGCATGCGCCACCACCGCCCGGCCCGTTTTGTATTTCTTACGGAAGATGGAACTTGGTATCAGGCCCTTTGATTCTCTAAACTTAAAAAAAAAAATAGCAACAATTTTATTGTGTCTCTGCATGCCTATGCATCAGAGGACAACTTAGGGTTTTCACCTTCTCCTTCATTGAGGCAGGACCGCTGTTGTTTCTGTTGCTGCCTTCTCATTGCAGGCTAGCTAACCTTCAAGTTTCTCAGAGATTGTCCTGTCTCTGCCTCACATCTCATCACGAAAGTGCTCATCACATGCCACTGAGTCTCACTCTTTACGTGGGTTCCTGGAATTGAACTCGGGTCATTGGGCTTGTGTATCTAGCACCATCTCTCCAGCTCACAATTCTCTGTTTTGACTACTCATTTCCCATGGTCTGAATCTGACTAAGTATCAGAATAATCCAAGACGCTTGTTAAAAATACAGACTCCTGAAGTGGGTGTGTTTTCAGCGGGGCTGATTCCCAGGGCCAGGGAGGAGCCTGGGAGTTAGTGTTGTTTTTGATAGTGCCTCGGGTGAGAGTGAGGCAGCTGCCAGGGCATGAGCTAGCCCTGGGAAGCTGCTGGGCTGGTCCACATGTCTGATCATGCTGACCTCTCTGCCCTGCAGGTCATCACAGGCTTGAAGATGTCATGCTTTCAACTGGAAGTTCTGACATGTTTACTCATGGATCAGATTTCTTTAACAGTCTTGTCTCTTCTGTCCACATGTCTCATTTCTAAGCTCATCTGTGGAGGCTCTTGTCAGTGTGCAGTGAATGAACTGAATTTCAAACATGGAAGCAAACTGAATTCAGAAATGTCTTCCTCACTTGACTTGCAGGGAACGAAGCTTCAAAGGGGCGTCTTGGTCTTGGCAGTCACCCAACCCCATTCTAACTTGCCAGTTTTAAAATTGGTTTTACCTCTCATATTACTTTTCTTCTGGGTCCAATCTGATCCATGGTTGAGTCTCTCAATGATGTCATTTCATTTTTCTTTATCCTCACACTTTCAGTGCATTATATGTTTTTCTCAGGTTTGTAGTGTTAGTGATCTTTGTATCCTTCTTGACAAAATAAGTGCTAGTCTTTTTTTTTTTCCTAATCACTCTGCTTCTTTGGGGTTTCATTTTAGCCAGGATCCAACCACCAGACTTGTTGCATCAAAGTGGTGATTCTAAGTTCCTAGTAGAACTGGGTTGGATTGTAGTCTCCAGCCTCCTAAATGTATACCTAGGTTCTTGCTTTGTCTTAATATGACATTGAACAAAAGAACTATTATCACAAGACTGACTTTTCCTGGTGTTATTTCAAATTTAGACTCTCACATTACTGCTGTAGCATGACCTTCCATCAGTCATGGTTCAGTATAATCTATGCTCATGGCAGAGATCTGCCTTGGTCTGAGGTGACTAAGGGTCTTACTTAGCAAAAGCCTCACTCTCCTCACCATAGGAAAGCAAATATGGGGAGAGCAGGGAAACCTGGACCAGACTTCCCTTGCTCTCCTCTCCCTCCAGCAAACTATGGATTGTGTTTTTGAAGATCCCAGGGAGAATTCATGACTATGAATTTGCTGAACCTCTAATATGGGACAAATGGCACAGGGCTCTTTTTTTTTTTTTTTTTTTTTTCAAGCAGTTACAGTCATCTCTGGATTTGGGTTTGATGCTGTCTCTGTTTTCACTGTATGAGTAAATCTTTACCTTTCTTCTGGACTAGGAGAGGCAATCCTAGAAGGATCTTTGAGACAAGCTAAATGAAAAGTAACTCTTGCTGAAAGAGTTTATGTACAGATTTCCTGATTGGTTTGAGCTGAAGTCTGATGTTTAATTTGGCGTCTCTCCTTCCAATAGGACAGCTCTTTCCTGGTGGAGCAGAAATACCCTACATTACCTGGGAAGCTCTCAGGAACCATGCCCAATGGAGAAGCTGCTAAGTCTCCTCCTACTGGCTCCCCCCAGCCTGACTCTTCAGGGAGCAGCCTGCTGAAGCTGAGTAAGTGTCCAGCCCTGGGTTGGTGGCTTCAGAAACTCTGTCCTTAGCACTTGCTGTCACTGTAGCTATAACTGCAGCCCACGGTTAGGAATTGTAGGGGGTGTGTCCCAGAGTGGTTCCACTTTTAAAGATTCCCTGTCTGGATAAGCTGTCTCCCAAGTTACTGTCCCTCCATCCTCTCCTCTGTCCATTCTTCCTCGAATCCCTGCCTGTCCTCCCCACCACTGCTTTTTGTCCTCTTCCTTTTAAACATCTCCATTTAGTCTTCATACCCTGCTTTCTTCATCTGTTATCCTGGTCACTCTCACACATCTATCTGCCTTTGATACAGCCCGTGTTACCACTAGACTGACAGTATGCAGGCTCCCACGTTAGAGTATTTAGATTTGGTCAGTAGCAGCGGATCTGATGTGGTCTAGGAGCGACTGTTTTGGTGTTCACAGAGTTCTCCCTACCTACCCCCAATTCATCTACCTCCCTATTCCCTAGGCCACCTTATGCTTTAGTTCTCAAAAATTCAATTGTGCTCTGGGCTTCTATAGCTCCAGATAAACCCTTAAATGACTGTGTTCAGTTATACTCAGACTGTTTGGGGTCATTGTAGTGTGAGTCCTGGCAGGGGCTACCTATGATGCAGAGTGTCTCCCCTCCCCCGCTGCTGGCCCTTCCTCACTGCCCATGGATACCTCAGCTTGTTAAGGAAGTGGCACCAGGACCCTTTGTCCTGATACCTCTTCTTAGCATGCTGACCCTGTGGGCCAAACTTGATCACCCTTTGCCTTGTCCTTTGTGGGATTGTTTCCGTTTCTGTTTGAGTTTTTCTTTTTTGCTCGATGATACTCTTTTTATTTCTTTGCTTCCCCGTTACTGTTGGGCTGGACTTTGCCTCTCTTGCTTCTTCATGTGGCCTCTCTGATTCTGGGTTGCTGGAGATCGCAGCTGGAGTGTCAGTGCTCCCGTATTAGGTACTGTGACTGTTCCAGGTGACGTAGAATGTAAGAATTCCTTTGTTTTCCATTTCTATTGCCCTGCCCACGTTCCAAAGTCTCCCTCTGATTATATAGCCAGCTCCTTGTTTGAATAGTCTACAATTACTTAGACCCCAAAACCTTAAAATTGAAGACATTAAATCACCTCGATTTGAAACATTGGCCTCAGTAGTTCTTAGTGAGGGGCCTTGGAGGTCCTTTTGAGCTCTTTTGGTTCCCAGTGCTGTGGGATAAAGCTCTGTCCTAAAGGCAACACTGGGAAGAGTGGTCTTGACTCCCACAGAAGGATAGCTCTCTGCTGTAGGGGTAGGGGTGGGGTTCTGAGGTCCCTCTCACTCTCATTCACATACGTTTCCATCCTGCCCACCTTAGGAGAAACAGAAAGTGGCTGGGAAGATACAGTCTTGACCACTGAACTCTCATCTACTTCATCTGGTACTGAGTCAAGTCCCCAGTCTCCCCTGACACCAGATGGCAAACGGAGCCCCAAAGGCATCAAGAAGTTCTGGGGAAAGTAAGTTGGTGGTAATGGTCGTAATCACATGCTTAGACAAGGCAGATGCTGTATGTGTCCCTGCTCCATCACACATTTGCATAGCTGCAAAGCAGAATGGTCACAGTCAGAGAGAAGAATGTAAGTTACTTTGCAGAGAAATGTGGCAGGCAGGCATTAAATAGAGCTAGTTGCCACGTGTCTTTCATTCTAGGTACCCATATGTCCCACATACCCTGCTCCTATTCACAGCTCATACCTAGCCTTCTGGAGATGCACAGATAAGACTGGGTCCTTCTTTTCTTAGGAGCCAGTCTGGGTTTCAAAATCTTTTAAAGACCAAAAGCCGAGTACTTGCTAGTCCAACTGATTGATTCTGCACAGAGGCAGGAGCTGGAATCTCCTCAAAGGCATCAGCCTTCACTTTGATCCTGTGAGGACTGGCTCAAATCCCAGAGTTAGGCTTAGCATTGAATCTCAAAGTCTGGTAGACGCACTGTTATAGGTCATCTTTCCTGGCTTCAGGATAGGGACTGGGAAAGGCATTGCGTCAAACCATTAGCCTGACCTGTCTAACCCTCACAGTCACTTTGGCTTCCTCTCCATGCAGAATCCGAAGAACTCAGTCAGGAAATTTCAACACTGATGCACCAGGGATGGCAGAGTTTCGACGAGGTGGGCTCCGGGCAACTGCAGGGCCAAGACTTTCTAGGACCAGGGACACCAAAGGACAGAAATGGTAAGGCTCTATCCAGCTCATCTGCAAAGAGCTTTGTGAAATCCTCACCAGGATGTAGTGTGAGCAGGGCTGGGTGTTCCACAGCCTCAGAGGCTAAAGGCAGGAGTCTTTCATATAGAGAACTTACCTATTGCCCACACTCACAGGTACTGAGGTAAAGCATGAAACTCCCTGCAGCTGGCCAGGGTTGGGGTAGAAAAGCTGTATTAGTTACTTTTCTAGCTTTTGGGGAAAAAAAAGACAGAAAAACACCAAACCTGACATGCAGCTTGAGAAAGGAGCTCATTCTGACTTACAGTCTACTATGATGGGGAAGGCATGGCGGCAGGATCTTGAGGTTGTGGCTGCTCACATCCTCAGCCAGGAAGCAGAAAGAGATGAGATGAATGCTGATGCGCAGCTAACTCCTTCCTTTTTATCCAGTCTGGGACCCAGCTGATGGGATGATGCTGCCTAAATTTAGGATGGGTCTTACTGTGTCTATTAACCTAACCCAGAATCTCTCACAGAAGTGCCCAGAGACTTGTCTTCTAGGTGGTAAGAGATCCTGTCCTCTTGACAGTATTAACCATCAGAAAGTTTGTTCACGGCTCTGCTCTGTTCTCACTCATTGACACTGGACTGTGAAGCTCTTGTGAAGTGAAGCAGAGCAGATTCTGGAATCCCAAAGGTTGGCTGCTCTCACTGCTTATCCATGCCTCACTGCAAGCTGCACACTGTTATGTGGCCTCTGCCCCTCCCTCCACTCCCCACATGTGAAACGGGCATCAAAAATAAGCATTAAAATTTCTGGGAGAATTATGTGAGCTCTTGTACATCTAAGCCAGGCATCCGCCCCATGGCCACCCAAGGGTCAGTATCCTCTTGTCTTTGGAGAGTCTTGGGGCATCCTGCATCTGCCAGTATTCCCGATAACTACACTGCAGCAAACGGAGCTGAAGGCTGGTAACTGAAGGGGACTGCTAAAATATGCATGGCTGCTAAAAATGCTGAGTTTCACATGGCTGCCCCATCATGCCCTAGTAGAAAAATTCACAAAAACAGCAAATCTGTTTGGAGGTGTCCCTGATGCAACTCTTCTGTCATTCTTCTTACTCCCTTGCTTTTGTTCTCTCTGTTCTGAGAGATAGTTTCCCACAAACTTGTGGATCCTTGCTCATGTTCAGTGAAACCCCTTTCCCTGCCAGCAGCCTCCGTGACACAGGCACCCCGAACAGAGTCTCCGGAAGCCCAGTTTGCAGAGCCACCTTTGGTGTTTTGGGGTCTTTCACAGGACTGGAATGTGCTCCTTAAAATCTAACCAACGTGAAATGAACTCTTTTGTTTGTCCTCAGGATTGGATCACACCAAGGAAAGAGGTTCAGGAGATGCTCATGATGCAAATTCTAGTTCTCAGAAATAGCAGTTTTCCAACAAAGAGAAAAGAGCATTTCCTGAAACAGGCTCTGTTATTCACAGACCTGGTGCGCCCCACGCCCCTGCTCGAGGAAGGAATCCTTGACTTATTACCACTCCCAAATTTCAAGACTTTGCCAGATCCTCGTAGTGTTTGAGACACAGGACCTTCCCACATTTACCTCTCACTGATGGATGTTGTTACACCTGAGTTATAATCCATGATCAAAGGAGGAGGGTAGTAGTAGACCCAATAATCTCTGATGTATATCCTCAGGAAATAGCAGCCTTTGAGGGATAGGGAATCTAAGGGCACCATCTGAAAAGCTATCCTTTAGTTTGGAGCTGAAGAAAGCTTATCTATATATTTCACAATTAGATATTGTCATTTGCCTAGCAGTTTTTCTAATTTAGACATTTTGTTTCTGGGTTTTCAGAGATGAGAAAGTAAAGGTACAGAAAGCTTCTGTGTTGTGTCTTTAAGAATTGAGTGCAGCAGGGGAATCTTTACACCAGGGTAGAAGAGCATTTATAAGACCAGCAGGCATTTCCCTAGCCAGTTTGTTGTGCTCCTATCACTCCAGGGCCTAGGGGAACTAGGGAACTTCCTTTGCTGCACTGCAGGGCTGATCTGCTGGAATGTCTTTTACTTGTTGGCTGTGCCAATGGATGATGCAGGGAAGAAGAATGAGGAGGTCCTAGTGCACTTGCTCTATTTGTCTTTACAATGCCTATGGTAACAAATACAAATTGTCCCTGTGGAAAGAATTATTACCTGTAAGGAAAATATAATTATATGGCAGTGTCCTCTGCTGCATAATTTGTAGTTATTTAATGCATAATCTTTTACCAAAGGTTGCCACTGGCACTAATTCTTTTTCCAATGAAAATTAAGGTATTTTGACAAAGTTTTATAGAAAATTTCAGATCATGGAAAAACAATTTTTGTATTTTCATTCCCCCAGGTAACATCTTACTGACTTTTATCTCATGGCACACTATGTAGGGAGAGTGATGCCACCATAGCCTTACCAAAACTCTGCATTCAAATTTTTTCTCTGTTTAATTTTCTCTACTCTTACAGGTCAGCTTACAGTGTTTGTCAGTTTAATTTTCATATTTGGTGGTTTAGTTTGTGGGCCAGTTTTAATTATTGTCTTCTTTATAGATTTCTGTCCACTCTCCACATATTGAAGTTAAGCCATGTCTTGGAATTATGGGTGAGAGAGTTTGGGGCTTGTACCAGAATTTAGTTTCATTAACAATACTTCCATAAATGGAATTTTCATATTTATATATAACGAGGTTCACCGATATCTTTGTTTTTTGTTTGGGTATCAGAGTTACCCAAATAAGCTCAAAGCCTATTCCCAGTAACAGACTTCCATTCAGCAAGCCTATACCTCCTAAGCCTATCCCAGCAGCGCCACCAGCTGGGGGACAAGTATTCAAATCTGAGCCTATGTGGTACATTCTCAAATTTTGTAGGCTTTCCAAGTTGATGTACTTACTGAGAACATTTCCCTTCAGAACTTTGGCATCAGGAGGCATTTCTAAGCAGATGCTCCCTACTGCAGATATAGTTGATTTCCTCCTTCCCATACTCACTGTCAAAGTCAGATTCATTCCTTCCAGCAGGGGCATCAGACTTATGCTGTCTTTATTGATGTCAGTACAGTATATAAGATGAGCAAGAAATGACAACCTTCTTACAGTGAGTTCATGTGACTCACCTTATATTAACATCAACACACCATTTAAGGGGTCTTGTCAACTCAAAAGTCTAAGACTGATCACGACACTTTAAAACTTGAGCTGTGTGGTATTATCCTTTATATATTACTTAATAGAAAGTTTCTGAAATATCACTAGTGGTTCTGAAAATGCACATGACAGTGCCAGTTGTAAATTGTGTTGCTAGCGGATGCTGTTTTATTAGTTCTTATAATAAAAAAAAATGAGGGCTGGTGATATAATGCTATTGTAGAGTGCTTGCCTAGCATGTATAAAGCCCTGAGTTCCATCCCTGCAGAAAGTGGGCATAATGGTGCACACCTGTAATCTCAGAAATCCTGAGTTGGAGAAGGCAGAAGGATCAGAGGTTCAAGGTCATCCTTAGCTACATATTGAGTCTGAGGTCAGTATAAGCTGCATTAGACCTCATCTCTAGGCTAGGAGTGTTCATTACATATCCCAGTATTTATACTAGAATACTCGTTTCTTTCTGGTCCTTTAAGGAATTCTCTGTGTAAGGACAGCTTATCCAGGTATTCAAAAAGTTCTTAAAATCATTCCTGCATGGTAGGGGTGCAGCTGGCCCTAGACATCCAGGACTTCTGTATCTACCAATTGAACTGAACGAGGCTAGACAATATAGGTGGTTCTACAACGGTTATATAGATTGTACTGGATCTGCATGGACTTCTTTCTAACAATAAAATATAACATCTGTATGTACGTACATATGTGCCATTTATGTTGCATTAGGTGTGACAAGTAATTGGGGTATTATTTAAAGTATTTGGGAGGATGTGTGTAGGTTATATGCAAGCATTATATTTTATATCTGGGGCTGGAGCATCCTCCTGGAATCCATCCTCCATGGGTACCAGGGGAGAACTGTTCTTTGCTATAAGGGAATCGCTCTGAATAACTAGTGTCCTAGATCCATAAATCCCCATTGATATATAAAACTGGATATGAAGTTGTTTTGTCCACCCTTTTCTGTAACTCAGTTGGGACTTCGAATCTGCCGTTGCATTTACACTTCAAATGAAAAATTGATGTCCTTAAGAATGAATGGTTTTTAATACCTAGTCTTGTCTAGGAACATCACCCAGCTCTTTTTTTATTCATATTTTCTTTTATGTTGCTTAGTTGAATGTTGCAATGATTTCACCCCACTGTATCTTTACCCAGCCTGACACACAGCCAGAGTGTCCATCCTTCTTGCGGCAGTACCTAGGAAGGTTATGATTTAGTTGGTTTGATGATGATGTGCTTCATTGTTTTCATAAAAGCTGTGTTATCTGTATGGCTAATATCTAGAAAATTGACATTTGCATGTAATTCTCATTGCATATTCCAATGACTGGGCTTTTGTGGGTTTCTAGGTGGAAAATCGTGTCATCTGAAAAGAACTGAGTTCTTTATTTCTACTTTTCTAAAGCTGTACTAATTTTATTCATTCTTAGCTGAATAATCTCTCAGACCGATGTTATTAATAAGCACTGGTAGACATAGCATGTATGTTGATTATAGTAGAAATTTCATTGTAAATAAGGTACTCACTGCTGTAAGTTAGAAGAGCTTTGGCTTGGGTTTTCCCTCTTTTTGTGTTAGAATATGGACTGTCTTTTCATAGTTTCCCAAGCAAAAGTGTTGAGTCTTACGGACACAAAATGATTTGCTCATGGGTGTTCAGTGCATTTCTCCACCTTTGTGCACTAAACATGCCCCTGGGGATCATGGAGGCTACCCCATGCTCAGAAAAGCTGCAGTTGAAACATACAACCTGTTATTAAGGTGGCTCTAGAGTCTTACAAACATGTGCTATAATGCCGTTCGCCTTGTTGGCTCTTTTAAAAAGCTTTTTTCTGAGGCATTGTGTTGTACAAAGCCCTGGTTCCTTATAACAGAAGCACACTCTCCCTCTGTTTCCCAGCGATGCCAATGCCCCCTTTGCCCAGTGGAGCACCGAACGTGTATGTGCATGGCTAGAGGATTTCGGCCTGGCTCAGTATGTGATTTTTGCCAGACAGTGGGTGACATCTGGCCATACACTACTTACAGCTACCCCTCAGGACATGGAAAAGGTAAGGGCTGAGCATGAAGAGAAACTGCCCCTACTTTCCCCTAGGACAGTGCATGGGGACTAGTGCATGGCAAGTTGGTGGCGTCCATCTACTCCATGTACACAGAGGGTGGCCAGGGAAGGCTGAGATTCCCTCCCTACTGCTTCAGGTTAACATCTCAGGCCACTGTGAAAAGATCTACCACCACCCTCAAGCATCTCTATCATGACATGACATCCCCTGAGGACAAGTTGTCTGCCAAATTTCACATGTTCATCTTTTGCTTTCAGGAGTTAGGGATTAAACACCCCCTCCATAGGAAGAAGCTGGTTTTAGCTGTGAAAGCTATCAATGCCAAGCAAGAGGAGAAGTCTGCACTGCTTGACCACATTTGGGTGACACGTAAGGACAGACCTATATTTATTAAGAATGTTTCTGGTTGTTCCAAAGGGCAAAATAATTTCCCATTGCATTTTTCCCCAAAGATGGCAGCTTTCTTATGAAAGATGGTGGATTCCTAGTGCTTTGGAATAAAACAGGAGCCTTTGTCGCCTTTCCCCTTGGTACTCACACTGACTGTTCTTATGAATCCTAACATCTCTGCTTTTGTAGGGTGGCTTGATGATATTGGCTTACCCCAATACAAAGACCAATTTCATGAGTCGAGAGTTGATGGCCGAATGCTGCAATACCTAACTGTGGTAAGGATTTGATTTCCCCTTAGGTATGTCTGTTGTTCCAGTGAGCACTCAGTCCCTATGATAGTTGTTTTAAGCTTGACCCCTCCCCCCTCCTCACATTGTTAAGGTTCTGATATAGTACTGCTATTACATTAGGCATGCAAAATGCCAGCGTACAAACCATGGTGGTAAGCGGAGCTGTTGAGATGTTATGAGCATCTGCGATGTGGAAATTATGTCTGTGTTTGATCAGGAGAGAACTGCTGCAGTCTTTTGTCACCTTGGAAACTGCCTTGTCAACCAGAACCTTTCTCTTCCAGAATGATCTACTCTTCTTAAAAGTCACCAGCCAACTACATCATCTCAGCATCAAATGTGCTATTCACGTGCTACATGTCAATAAGTTCAACCCGCACTGCCTGCACAGGAGGCCTGCTGATGAGGTGAGGGAGTGTACTAGCTGTCCAGGTGGCCCTGGGTCAGGACACCTGGAATATCATGTCTGAGAAAATGAGGATGACACCATCACAAAATGGACCATGGTACTTAAGATTCTGGTATCTGTAAGTGCCCTATTGCCTACACTTTGTGTCTAATGGTAGTCACTAAAACTCTGATCCCCCACCCAAGTCATCATAATAGCCCAATGATTTGTTATGACATAAAACCGGGGGTGGGGGTGGAGGGGAGGAAAGACAATATGGAAACATGGTGTCAGAGGTGGCAAGATCCAGGGTACTGGAGGGCACAGGGTTCCAAAGTACTGGACAGTTCATAGTGTGTTGCTCTCTTTGTTGGTATAAGATTAACTAACCTTCAGCCTAGACAGGTAGGATCTTACTAGAGGGGAAATAGTGTCGACAAATGTAAAGGACCACATATAAATGATACACATAATAATGTTCTATAAACTTCAGGACTTCCCGGTGGGCCCCAAACTGAATGCCTACGGCTCACATAGACCTCCTCTTTTATGGGTAACTGGCCTGACTCTGGTTCTTTAGGGATTTAAAATCCCCACTTTTGTCTTCTGTCCTCTTATTTCCAAGCTACTGAACAAATAAATCTTGCAAGCCTTCTTTGTGAGTGCTGACCCTTTTGAAGCCCACAGGCCATGTGAAAATATGTAAACATTATTATATTTTACAAAAAAGATTTACTTTTAATTTTTGTGTATGTATATATGATATATATGTACTCATAGAGGCCAGAAGAAGACATCTGATCTCTTGGGGCTGGGATTATAGATGGTTGTGAGCCATCTGGCATGGGAGCTGAACCTGGGTCCTCTAGAAGAGCAATAAGCAGCACCCTACACTGCTGAGCTATCTCTCAGTACCCAGCTGCACTATCTTAATGTGGATTCCCTTAAAACACTTGCCCATGCCAGAGAGTACTTTTACCTAGAAAATACTTGGCTTATAATTGAATCTTTAAAATTCTGTTGGATCACAGAATAAAAACCCACGTCTTCATTTATTTGTGCCAAAGTTATCTAAAAGGCTAGGTCATAACAGGATGATGAAGTCAGATATTTAAGTATAAACTCTGCAGCAGAATTCAAAAAGATACTGATTTCTTAGAACTGGGCAGGTTCTCAGGCAAGTCACCTGGTTGGCCTAGATTGCAAGGCCTAAGAATCTGCTGTCACGGTGAAGCATCTGGGACAAGACTTTTGGACCCCACAGAGGACAACATGGAGCCTAATTTCTTCACTCTCCTCCATCACAGAGTAACCTTTCTCCTTCAGAAGTTGTGCAGTGGTCCAACCACAGGGTAATGGAGTGGCTGCGATCTGTGGACCTGGCAGAGTATGCACCCAACCTTCGAGGGAGTGGTGTGCATGGCGGACTGATTGTGAGTGGCTCTCTGGACCCGCCCACATGCTCTGGTGTAAAGTGGGCCATTCTAAAACCTCCTGTCCATCCTGGTTTTGTTTCTGTTGCTGTGTTAAAAGTATCCCGACGAGAAGCAACATAAGGAAGAAGGGGTTTATTTTAGCTCGATTATAGGCAGTCAGTTGAAGCAGCAGATGTGTGGGATAGCTGGTCACATGACACCCGCAGTTCAGAGGAGAGAAGGAACACATGAGTGTTTCAGCCCAGTTCCTTTTGTAACACTTCATCTGAACCATTTTTACAGAATTTGAAATCTCATAGTGTTTCTGGTTGAGTACTACTGTACCTTACACAAAGAACCAAAATGGCTTCTGCAAGAGCTTCCCCAGCTCCAGTCCAGAGGGTCCCAGTTAGGATGGTGGCTGCATTAGACCCATCCTGGGCAGGGCAACTCCACCTGTTCCCAGAGGAACCTGGGGCTGGGGAAGTGAGGGGGAGGTGGCCATATGTAATGTCTTGATTGCCGAGATATGATCTTTATCACGACTTAACTCTATCAAGTGTCAAGGCCAGAAGGGAAGTGTGGAGGTGGTGGCTTAGATGCCATCAGACAAGACTGGAAAATAGGCTTATCAAAGAGGCCTGCTCTCTGTCTGCTAGCCTGTGGAGATGAAGTGGTCAGTCAACAAACATGCTAGTCTGCTCAAAGCCAGGTCTCATGCTGGGGAGACAGAGTGGGTGGGACACAGAACACAGACTGTGTTCCAGAGGCCCAGGGAACAAGTCCTTACTGCCCCCGCCCCTCCCACCCAGGACATTCTACAGTAGCCACCATCTAGGCGTGTTTGTGCTTTCTCTTTAGATCCTAGAGCCACGCTTCACTGGAGACACCCTGGCTATGCTTCTTAACATCCCCCCACAGAAGACGCTCCTCAGGCGCCATCTGACCACCAAGTTCAACGCCCTAATTGGTCCTGAGGCTGAACAGGAAAAGCGGGATAAAATGGCCTCGCCAGCTTACACACCTCTGACCACCACAGCCAAAGTCCGGGTGAGCCGTCAGAGCCATTGTGGGTGGGTTCCTGTGGCCTGGCGGGTCTTCTGAGCCTTCTGTTCAGCATCTGTTAGTTCAGTGTCTGGGCCCAGACCAGTAAGTGCAGCCATAGTTGAGGAGCATGCTTGGCTTTTGCTGTAGGAATCTGTTCCCGAGGTCTGTTCATCTTTATTAGATCCATTCCCTCCTTGGCCTAAGTCCCAGGAAAACAGCACAGGTTTCTGTACACTGGGACCGTGTACAGGAAGTAGCTCTTCTTGTGAAGCTGTTCTCTATTCCAGTTCTGCCAAGCAGATGAGTGCTGGGTTCCCTTCAGACAGGGCCATCTGTGTGCCATAGTGCCCCGGGGGCTTGCCGTTTGCTGGCACTGGAAGTGTTCCCGTAGCAGCTGGTCCTGCTTGCTGTGGCCCACGATGAAGCCAGCACACAGCTGACCTAGTATCATCCAAGCACCTGTCTCATTCTCTGGTCTCTCTGAATCCTACGAAGTCCAGCCTGAGTGAAACCTCAGTTGGAAGCTAACTGCAGGCCCACAGATAACTCCAGAGGCTGAGCTGAACTCTCCCTGTGCAACCCAGGGCTCTGGGGTCCAGAGGTTCTCATGGGTCTGGGTGTTCCTCACTCTTATGCCAACAGCTGTGGTGAGACAAGTCTCCTGCACTTAACCTCAAATGCAGACAGTAGCATTCCAGGGACTCCTTCAATTCATCTTGGGAAGTAGGAAGCCATTTTGGGGGGGCATCAGGCCTGAGTTTTGGGCACAGCCTTGGAAGAGCCGCTCTCTGTGTTCAAGGGTATTTATCTGTTGGCTTTGTTTCAGCATAGAATATGTTATCAAAAACCCTGTTTCCCACAAGCAAGCACTTTCATTTCTTTACTCCTGAGCTAGCTCCCAAATGCCTTGCCAGTCACATCTGCACCCTGACCTGGGAGCTCCTTCTCATCATCTTGCATTTGCTGTTTCAGCCCAGGAAACTTGGATTTTCACATTTTGGAAACATGAGAAAAAAGAAGTTTGATGAATCTACGGATTACATTTGCCCCATGGAGCCTGGCGATGCGGCCAATGACAGCCACAGGGTCTATGGTGTCTGTAGGGGTCTCAGTCCCCTTGATAATCATGAACTAGATGGGCTAGACCAGGTGGGACAGATAAGCTGATGCCCGTCATCTGCCTTCTTTGTGCACGGAGAGCTTGCTGTAACACCGTGTGTCTCCATATAACTGCACTTCACCGCTGTCCTTGTGCATGCTGTGCAGGAAAAAGCAACTGTGTCCCTTGGGGCTGGTCTCTACACACCATAAAGACGGTCCGGGTAATGAGTTACACGGCTGCAAAGGGGACAGATGTTGGGGGCTATAGCCAAATGTGGACGGAGGGGAAATCACATGAAGATACCTGTACATAGTTAGCCATTCTTAATATCCGTATTTCAGCTGGCAGGCCCAGAGATCCTGGGCAATCCCAAGAGGCTCAGCTCTCAGACACTGCCCCTGTGCTCCATTTGAGGGAAGTATTCCAAGTGCCTTAGGCCCATGGGCCATGGTGGTAACATGGTTTGATTGTACCTTACTGTGGGTGTCCATTTCTTTCTGGTAATAAAAAACAATATTTATGTAGAGAGTATGAAGCATCTTTAATTTGGCTGGAGGAAGAAAGCCTGACGTGGCTACAGGTAGAGCGATGCCAACTATAGCACCCCAGGGCCTATAGCTTAGGATTTAACCAAGGGAATGGGGCATCTGTTAGAGGAGTCTGTGGCCCTGCTGTCTTGGGCCTCATGTCCCTCTGTGAAGCAGGTTGGGTGTCACACACACGCTGGCTAGAGGTTACATCTGTCACACAGACCCTGGGTTGTTTTCCATCTCAGCAGCATGAGCCTCACAATGAAGGGTGAGGAGATGAACAGACAGCCTTTCTGGAAAGACTCTGCTTTTTACATCTAGCCCCCTTTTGTCTCCCGGAAGAGCAGAAACAGAGCTGCTGTCCTGCTTTAGACACTGACTAGTTGGTAATGGGCCCACCAGATGGGCTGTGTCTGACCGGAGACTGACCAGGGACAGGGGTGTGTACTCTGCCAGTCTGAGCTGGCCAGGAAATTCCAGTTTGGGACTGGACAGTGTTTGACTTCTGGGTCCAGTGGGCTTCATCTACAGAAAACAGCAGGGTTACCAACATCTGGAAGTGAAGGCGGGACCACTGGACTATTACAGCATTCTGATTCTGCCTCAGATGTAGAATTTGGCTATTAATACACATGGAAGATTCAGCCATGGTCTGTTACCCAAGGCTACTACTCCCCTCAATTCCAGCTAGTGGGAGAAGTGGCACAAGCTTGCCAGATGGCAATAGTAGTATTTGATTCTGGCACCCAGGGTCACTGAATGGCCAATGCTGTTGTAGAGCAGGTCAGGCCAGGTTTTGTGCCCTGTTGGTTATGTCTCAGTAAGGGACTGCATGTATCTGTTTTCAGACCTTGCATGGAATTTCACTGCTGCTGAATCTCTGTGTGGCCTCATGTAACTCTTATTCCTTTAGTGGACCTGAGTTTTCCCTGCTACAAGGGGTTGCCCTTGATGCCTTCAAGTCTGCAGCATCCGGTAGGCCATCAGTACCCAAGGAGGAGGAAGGCAAGAGAAGGAAGCGCCTGTGCTATGGAGAGGCAGCAGTCTCCAGATGATGTGCTCTTAGACCACAGTACTGATAGCTGGGGTCCTGTGTCTGGAAATGATCCTCTGTGCAGTAGTAGTCTGGAGGCTTCCATCCCTGTGAAATAGCTGGACCACTGGACATGTGCAGGAGGCTGCTTCTGATGAGCTCTGCCTGTGCCCGGGTTTCTCCACACAGAGTGCAGATGCTGAGTGTGTCTTCAGCAGGGCGCATGCATGTAGTGCAGGAGCTTTTCTGCCCGACTGCATGCTTCTCACCAGCTGTCACACCATGCCCATGCTCTAGGGAAGAATGTCCTGCAGGGGGCAGGCCTGAGTAGAAGGGGCTGTGCATGCTGCTGTCTCTGCAAAGCATAGACTTCATCCCTATGTGCTGACCAGGCTGCTGCCCGTTTTACAGATGGCACCTTCTGAAGGCACCATGACACAGATAGGGCTCCTCTCCCAAGACATCCATCGCCTCACGGTAGGATTCCGATCCCCTTCCTAGCGGTATGGCGAGTGAAGCCCAGGAAGCTTGGTGTGGTGGTGGTCATGATCAGATGAGAGGAAAGAATGGTGCTTGATAACGGGTCAGAGTCTGAGCCAGCCCCGAGGCACACAGCAGCTGAAAGACCTCCTCCATTGGCATGTTGTTGGGCTCTGAGTCACCACAGGCTCCACAGGCCTTTCATCAGAGTCAGCCTGAACATAACAAGGTGCTGGAGCCTTTCCTGGTCTTAGATCTGGTAATAATAAGCTGGTTCCCAAGCAGTTGTGGGTCAGCTGTCCAGCCACATCAAAGCTCACTTGTAAGCCCAGTGAACACTGTCCTGCCTTCTTGGCACAGGAGAAACATGCAGTCCCACCACTCCTCCGACATTGTGAATATCTTCTGCAAGCTAGGGGGGCCTGCCGTGCCAGGAATACAAACCAGTCTATAGGGAGGCAGCTTGGTCCCAATGAAAGAACCACACATTTTTTGAGAGGGGGGATGGGTAGGAGTGGTTCAAGTCCTTTGCCTTTTACTAACTCTAGGAGCATAAGTAAGTGTGCCATTGTCCCTCTGAGACTGGCCTTGGTTATCTGTAAAGCAGAACTAATGATGGCCCTCTTGTAAATCACATGGGAAGACCAGAGGTAGCAAGAAATGGCCACCCATGGCCGTTTAGAAAACTGTCTAAAGGCAAGGCGGAAGAGTCATTTCTAAGCAAGACCACCCTAATACAACAGTCTTGGTCTCTTGGCTTACGCAGGGGAAAGTCTGTACAGTCTTGGTCTGTGATCTCTAACAAACCCTTGGTGGTCTTAAAATAGTAAGTTTATCTCTAAGACGAAAGGCCTAGTTTTATCTTGTGTGTATGTGTGTGCTGGTGATGGGGATTGAACCTAGGTCATTGTGCAAGCAAAGCAAGTGCTTGTGTACTTGTGGAACCAAGCTTCGCCCTCACCCCGTTTTTATCTTAACATTACTGTCTGTTCAGGGTTCAATGCTCAGGCTCCCTGGGTCACCACAACTGTGTAGGTCAGTGGTGTTAGATATGGGCCACTCCCACGCTGCAGGGTGGCCTTGGCCTATGAACTGTTAAACTGCCCTATTGGCTATGTTCTTACAGACTCTACTGAGCGAGGACCAACTCCTGAATGACTCACCTGACTGTCCCTGACACTGATGACTACGGATGACATTCTTCATGACTGAGAGCCCAGGGAGGCACATGCGGGACCTGAGTGTTTGCCTCAGTGGGGAGTTGGCACAGAGCCATCTACAGAACCTAGATGGGGTTCTTTGGGGCACCTCGGATATAGGTGCTGGCAGGAGCAAAAGCAGAGGGGTGAGACAGGGATCTAGAAGTGTCCTTGTGTTCCTCGGTGTGGCCAATGCTTTCTTTCCACTACAGCCTTTCTACCTTTTGTACTTTTCTATACAAACTGCAGACACTGTGGGAGAAAGGGAAGGGAGATGTCAATGCAGAGCAAAGACTGTTAGTTCATAAAAGCTTCTGTTTGGAAAAAGTGTGCAAACTGTTCTGAGCATCATGAGGTGGCTGGGCGCAGGGGATCCTCTGGGGGCTGCTTCATAGAAGTATGTATTTTCATTCGGGGATCCTGGCTGTGAGACCCAGGCCTCCTCTCTTGATCCTCCAGCAGCTTTCTTCCACCTGCTTCTGCAGTGGGTGTCTGAGCAGGAGTGTTCTCAAGATACCTACAGTGGCAATGACACACTTTCCCTCACCTGCCTTAAGTAGTGTCTGGTCAGATACCTCCCCCTAGTGGACAGTCTTCAAATTCAAACTTTTTTTTTTCTGTCCCATCTGAAACAATCCTTATTCCTTTCCTAGCTATGGTTGTTCTAGTTCCTGATTTGTTGTTATCAGGTTGCTACCCATAATTTCCTACCTGACCCCTCACCTTCCTAGGGGTCCCTGCCAGAGGTTCCCCACACCTGTCACCTTGTCCCTGCTCTGCTTTGAATTCCTTAATCAGAGTGTCCACAGAGGGGCCTGCCAGCCCTTTGCCAGCATCTCACCAGCCTTTGGGACCCCACTGATAGGTCTTGCTTCGCCCCATTGATTATTTACTCTGGTTCCAAATCAACTCTGCCCTCTTGGTGCTGTCCGCCTTTGCCTCTGAGGTGTTCACGGTCTATTTCGGGGTTATGAGCCATCTTTCCACGAGCTCGTGCTCTCTGCATAAGCCCGCTGAACCACTGTAGTCTGTGTGGCCTAAGTGGGCTTCAGTTGATGTACTACTTTTGTAGTCTCCTTGGTCTTCCCTGCAAATGTCATTCGAACCCCCACAACCCCCGTTAGACAAGCCAAAATGTCTTCAGACTTTGTCAAATGTCCCCTGGAGGATGAAGTCACCCCTTCCCCAGTTGAGAACCATTAGGCTGGAAAGCAAGGTCAGAGCAGAAGGAAGGAAAAGTCCAGTGAGGTTGAGATGAGTCCAACGGGAAAAGGCTTTGCAGCTGGGCCTGGAGGCGCATGCCTGTAATCTTAGCTTCTGATGGTTGGGAGGCTGAGGCAGGAGGACTATGGGTTCATAGATGACGTGGGCTACAGAGTGAGCTTAATGCCAGACCAGGCAGTTTAGTGGAAGTGGGCAAGAGTGTTTCCCCTGAGTTGGGCTTTCCCCAAGGAGACACTAGTTCATGGGTCAAAGTGGGAGTGTCCCTTTCAGGCTATTCTGAGACTGTTTGGCCCCCTGTGGGTGACATTCAAGGGTACAGCAGAGCCTCCAGGGCCACGTTCCTCTTTTTCTTTTGTGCACCCCCCCCTCACATGTGCACATCTGGTAACCAACCCCGCAGTGAGGCAGTGAATTCTAATACGACTGCTACTGTGCTAGTTTTTAAGAAAGGGGAACAGACTTGGAATTAAACAGATCTAGGTTTAAAGGCAACTCTGCTACCCTCTGTCTGAATGACTTGGGAACTTGTAACTACTGTGTCTGTTTCCTCCTGTGTGACTTAAAGAACAAAAGCTTCACAGACTCTCTGGCCTGTTAGGAAGGATATACGAAAACAAGTTGGAGTGGGCTTGCCCACAGAGGTAGCAGAGCAGCAGTGTGTTACTCTTGCCATGAACATGACGATACATGTCCCTTGTATCATGTAGGTTGAATGATGGGATTTGAGGCAAAGCTGCTGGAAATGGTCAGAAACTTCTGTCTAACAGTGAAGTCAAACCTTGGCCCAGTTCTAACGTGGAGTCTGACACCTAGAGGATGCTAAAATACAATATTTCCCTATATCTCCATCTGTTGTACAAAATGGAGGGAGTAAGGAGTCTACCTTCTATGAATTTGCTGCCCTCACGTAACAGTTTTTTTTAATCCTATTTGTGTCTCAAAGTGTCCCACATGGGAAGGGAAAACACACAAGCCTTTGCCCTCTGTGAGTCTGACCTTCAAAGCAGAGAAATGTAAAGATGTTCATGAGTGGTAAGTGGGAGTTGGTGGAACCTGGTTTGGATCCTGCTGGCATTCTACCCAGGCAAGTTCTGGCTGCCCAGTGTGTTCCCTACATGTCCACACACTGTGAGCTAAATGCAGAGCAGTCCAGTTTATTATACTAAACCATGGAGAAAGAAGCCTCATTTCCAGCCTCCAAGCCTGGAAGCTTAAATACCACCTTGTCTTAAGTCCTTTGAACTCTTCTCAAGTCCACACTCAAGAGAACAGCACCATGCCCAAGGGTACGTGGCGAGGTACTTTGCAAATAGTAGTTAAAAACAGTGAAGTCAAACTCATTCTGAAACAGAGAGGGGGCCGCAAAAGACAGGGGAGGGGTTAATAGGTAAAAATCATGTCCTTGGTATAGCCGAGCTGCTCCAGGCTGGGGCGAACTGCTTCCTGGATCATAGGTGGTGGACCACACACCAGGATGAGCGTGGCCTTCCCAGGGGGAGGGAGGTGCTCCTTGATCATGTCAGCAGTAACAAATCCTGAGCTGTACTTCCAGCCTGAAATGAAGCAGAGCAAGAAAGAGGCGTGGTTCTGTATTTGCCCTGATGCTAGAGACCAGGCTGCTCTACAAAAGCAGAGAACTCTGCATTGATGGTTCCCACAGTAGATCCAAGAAACCCACATAGGGGGTTCCAGGCATCTGCAGCATTTACTCCAGATTCCAGGGTCAAGCCTTGTACTCAAACTCAGGATGATGTCTCTGCTGTAAGCACTGAGTAGGGTGAGGTTGTTAGGTAGGGGTGGGTGAGGAGGTCACATTAGTACAGTGGAGTGTTTGTGGAGTCAGGCAGCACCCTCTGCTGGACAGCTTGATCTGTGCCAACACAGGTATAGAACAGGGAAGCAGGTGATGTACCAGGTGGTTCCTGGGTGCTAGCTGAGGCTGCAGGAGCATATGAAGGCTCACTATTATCCAGAAGAGATTGGCAGTGAGAGGCAGAGTAGCCATGAGCAATGCGAGAGGATAAGGGGCCAGTGACCATATTAGGTGCAATGTGTTGATTGTGGAGGGCAGGTGTTCAAGTAGCCTGGTGGCTCGGTGTCTATACTCAGTGCAATGTGTGGAGGTGTTCTGCAGCTGTCCTTGACTCCCCTTTACAAACTGCTGTTCCAAATCTCCCATCAGATACTTGCATGCCCTGTATAGACCAAGAGCCCCAAGACTTAATCTCTTGAAGTAAATTTAAAGGCAAAGCGAGCATACAAGCGAGAGACTGGTCTGTAGGAGTGCCAAGGGCGGAGCTGACTCAGAATAAGAGAGAGAGTAACATGGAACGTACTGTCGGGAGGCCTGTCCAGGGTGTACCACAGGTTGAACTGGTGAAGGTGAGTCGTGGCGATTTCTTCCAGTTCCTTTCTCAGCAAGATGTCCTCTTCTGTCTAGAAAAGAAGCAACGTTGCAAAGGCCCCTCCAGGAAAAACCAACATGCCACTGTCCTAGCTGGAGAGCTTGCCAGATGCCAGGGCAGACAGCGCCCTGTTCCTCCTGCATACTATATGCTCTCTCTATCAATACGAAGAGCTGGTGGGGCTGAAGGGTGACTTAGAGGTGCCACCAGCATGGCTGCCCTCTAGCTGGAAGGACTGTCTGCACAGATCACTGTCTGCATGCAAAAGTCCCCGCTCATTTCCCTGCATCCCAAGATCAGGCCTAGCAGGTTTAGTACAGGGTGGCCTTCTCTAAGGACGCAGGGGAGAGTGGTGCTGGTGATGTAAAGAAGAGGAAAATGGTCCACGTTTGCTTCTGAGAAATGGGGCACAAGGCTCCAAGAAAATGCTGAGGCCTGGCTCATCAACCCCCCCACCCCCATGGCTTTTGTCCCAGTAATACTGCTTCTGACATTGTTTCAGAAAATAAAGTTTATCAGGTCAGGCCCAGTTACTCATAATTACTTTGTTTATGGCAAAATATGGAAAGAACCTGAATGAAATTTTAGGAAAACATTACTTTGATTCTAGTGTGAATTAAAGTTAGTGAGGAGAAGATGCCTATATGATACTAAGTATATAATATATAGATATGTGTGTATATATGAATATATCATATATAAGTATACAGCACATATGGGGGGAAAGACAAAAGAAAAAGTATTCTTTTGAATCTCTCAGAATGTCCATCAGGAACACCCATTATTTAATACTCAGAAAAATAGAACTGGGAATTAAGGAGTATGCATGTTCAGTGTGGAGTGGGTCTGAAGGGAAGATGTAAGAGTTAAGCAGAACAAACAGAACAGGCCTGGCCTTGGCTTCTTCAGCTGCCAGCAGACTTGCAGAGCCCACTAAGCCTCCCACAGCCCAAGGCACCCAAGCAGCATGTCCCCAGACAGTCGGAGGGGAATGAATTCATATAAAGCCCCAACTCAGGGAACATTCCGTGCTACTGTGGCAAGCTCTGGGCTGACTGCAGAACTGACCTGATTGGCAAAGAGGAGGGACATCCTGGTCCCATCATTGCTGCTCTTGGTGATGTGGCGAATGAGCTGCAGCATGGGCGTGATGCCTGGAAAACAGTGGAGTGGCCAGCTTGCTCCCATCTTCAATGCCCCAGTTCCTGGCCATTAATGGACTAGCAATTTCATTTGACCCTGATTCTACCATATTCCCCTCTGTTCCCCCAAACCCAAAGTAGAGAAGTACCTTCATCTTGGTGTTCCTTTCTAGTGTAGTAGGTCAAAGAACCCCCTTCCTTTTTGAGACAGGGTTGCATATATCACTTCTGACCATCTCAAGTGGGATTACAGGCATGTGCTACCATGCCTGTTTTTGTGTGATTCTGGGGGAAACCAGGGCCATGTGTGCTAGGCAAATATTCTACCAACTGAGCCTTATGCTCAGTCCTTTTTATCTTCCTATGGAAAATGAGTGTTCTGTGAGTTAGGTCATGTCCTCGCTTCTGTAATAGAATTAACAGCCGGTAAACGTGATAGTATTAACCCTACCCGTGATGGTGTCTAACACCTATGTGTCTCCCTGAGGGTTCATTCTCAAGGGATTTAGAGAGTCAGGCTGGAATTGGATCTCCCACCATGTGGAAACCGTCAAGCAAAGCCTGCCCAGCCTGGCGTCATGAGAGAGGCTAGCATGGCTTCTAGGGAGCCACTATGCTGGTAACAGGGTCAGACTTGGTATCTGACACCACATTCCTACTACCACCTCTCATCAGGTCAAATCTTCCCAAGTTAGAATGGTCTTAGAGGAACCCAGAGACCTTACCTGTGCCCCCAGCAATCATCCCCAGGTGATGAACCAGTTTTTTTTCAGGCTCACTCGTTTTGTCTGTTTTGACTATAAGGGAACCTAGAAACATAGAGAATGGTTCTGACTTCTACAGCCTTTGTCTGGATACCTACAAAAGATTTCTGACTCTTAGGAGGCAAGTCAAGCTAATGTTGCAGCATTCCAAGCAAGAGAATCAGACACAGTAGCTTCACTGGTCAGCAGTGTACAGAGTAGAAACCGAGGCTAGGCATCCCATGGGATAGCTGGGCCTTGTCTTAAGCAAGACGAAATGAACTTGGAGCCTTGCAGAGTCTCCTCCACAATGGTGAGTGAGTGAGTAAATGGAGAATCTGGATGAACCAATCAGTGTGGACTCCCTCCACTGTCAGCAGGCACCTTTCGTGTTTCTGTGCCAGAGACCATTCTAGATGAAGCATACAAGTTTGTGAAATAAATGTGAGCAGTGACAGAAGTCAGCATATATGCAGTCACATGAATGAATGTGTGAAGACTTGAAGTACAAGCCCATGTGCCCCAGAGCTGAGGAAGGTCATAGTAAGATCACTGCAGGATTCTCCAAACTATGAGAGGAATTGCCCAACTGTGAGACCCCACTGAACAGCACCTGGTACCTGGATTATGATAGAACAGGCGCCCTGTTGGCCCCCGAAAAAGAATGGTATCCCCAATTTTCATGTTCTCTAAGTACTGAGTCATCTTTCCTCCTTCAGGATACTTGGGGTGCACATTTTTGAAGTATATCTGAAAAACAAGCACAGGTCTTTACGCTTCCAAGCCCTTGGCTACAGTTGTGCACAGCTGGAAAGTACATTTGCTATCAGAAGTCATGCAAGTAAACACTGTCACACTCACTGTGAACAACTGTTTTAGTTTCGTTTCTGTTCCTACAGTAAAATCCCCCAACAAGACTACTTAGGGAGAAAGAGTTTATTTTAGCTTACAGTTCCAGGTTAAAGTCCATTGTTGCAGGGAAGTCAAGGCAGGAACTGAAGCAGCTCACCACATCACATCCAACAGAAATTAATGCATGCAGGCCTAGTAGTGCTTGGTTCATTCTCTATACTTACATGGTTCAGGGTCTTCTGCCTAGGGAATGGTGTCACCTACAGTGGGCTGGGTCTTTTTATATTTCCACAGACAAACCTGGTATAGACAGTCCCTCACTGAGACTCTTCTCAGGTAATTTCTAGGTTGTGTCAAGTTGACAATTAAACTGAGCACAGCAATCCATTCAGATACTACAGGATTAAGTGTAGCATTGCTGATCAATGAGACTATTGGAAAGCACTGTCCAGGCCATAAGTTCCCTCAGAGAAAAAGTACTGCTCTCCATTCTACCACACTAAAGGATACCTGGGGGTTCCAGATAGCTGGTTAAGGTGGTCATTCTTTACCTTTATAATGAAGTCCACAAAGCCTTGATCATCATCACTAGAGACAGGAGTGTAAGCCCTGATCACCAATTCATCCTTAATTTGGGCCAAGAGATGGACATAGTTACCTACAAAATATATATTGTATGTATATATGTTAATAGTCAAATAGAACTCAGAACTCTACCAAAGGTTCACTTTGATGATACTTGCCCAGCTATGATCACACTATAACTTTTAGAGTAATACTTAATTAAAGGTGAAAATGAATACTGAAAAACAACAGAAAGGAGCCAGGTGTGGAGGTTCACACCTATAATCCTAGCCCTTGGGCATCAGAGACAGGATTGACTTGAGTTCAAAAATAACCTGGACTGTAAGTTGCAGGCCATTCTAGGCTAAGTGCAAGGCCTTGTCTCACAGATCAGAAAAGATTTTTTTCCATTTAAAGAAAACTATAGTCTTCATGGAATTTTTTTTCTTCCTAACTCGAAGTCTGGGAGGGAGCTACCAGTACCCCATCTGTGTCTCAGCAGAGAACAGTGCTTAGCCTTATGGTGCTTCAGGGTCCTAAGAGCTAGATAATTCTGTTTCAAATAAAGCAGCAATGTGTGCCATCCTGACCATTGGTTTTGCTGAGAAGCAGCAGGGACATTTACATTGTGTCTTTGCCTGTCCAGAGTAGAATTCGATAGACCTGGAGGGTCAAGGACCTATGAGTCAAGATTCTAGCCCAAAGTCAGATAATGAGCCAGATTGAAGTCCAGACTTCAGAGACCAAGGCGATTAGTATGAAGGGGAGCAGCTGCATCAAGGGATGCTAAAGGCTAGAGACAAAGAAAGCTCCAGGCACGTTCAGATGGAGTAGAAATCAAGCACTGGGAAATTAGAAACAGGTAGAGATGGAAACTGAGAGACAGATGAAGAGGTAGAAAGGAAGCAGGGGAGTGGGGTGCTTCAGGACAGACAGAGCCTACTTCAAGGTGTTAAGCAATATACATCTCGGTCTTTGAGGAGTACATAGATGAGGTGCAAACTTAATAGCCATCACCTGATTGGACACCAGGGACACTTGAGAACACAGGCCTGAAGCATCAGCTTCCTTCCAAGATCTCACTTGACACTGAGGACCTAGGAAGTCAGTCACTGAGTCCCCGCACAGAATGAAGCTGTGCTCCCAACCCAGGACCCCACCTCTAACCATCTTCGCTTCAGCTGAACTGTGAGGCGTCAGCCGTTTTACTGTCAGACTCTTGAGGCCACTACACAGCCTCGTCACACTGACCATACTGCTTCCACTGGGGCTGAAGGGAGGGTGGGTCAGAGAAGTCGACAAATTCTGTTTCTCAGGTGACTTGTGCTGGCCTCCCAAGCAGGATGGTGACCGGCTGACGGAGAGGAATGGAAGGCCCAGGGACAGCACTCATGAACAGAGGAGTGAAGGACAGCAGGCAGGCTTGGGGGCCCAGCAGGCTTCCTTGTGTTATAATTGCACCACTTGTCAGAGTTGAAGCCATGGCTTTCTTTGAAATTTGGCCATCAATCAGACTGTCCGTCCACTAGGAGGCAAGCAGCAAGGCTTCTCTGCCCCACACCTGTCCCTTAGGTTTTCTACCGGAGGAGAGTGAACTCACTGTCTAGAGTTGTTATCGATGGAAATGGAAGCCGAACGACTCAGAATCTGAGGAGGACAGCTATGGCTGGTTTCCTTATGTGTCTCTCAGGCCCCCTCAGACTATCTATCCATTTAGGGCATCTGCGTCACTAGTGACTGCCCACACATTTTGGGCTTTGACTCTGAGGGATATCTGCTCTTTTCATCCATGCATAATGCTATGCAGTTTCTGAACTTTCATATCTATCAATCATTTTACCCTCGCTGTACCTGAAGTAGACTGACAGGCCTGGGAAATACTGGTTTATAAGATGGAAGGTCAGTGAGGTTGATTGAGGTATTGGCCTTAAATTTCATGGGCAGGAGACTTTAATGAGATCTTAGCCCTTCCAACTCTTCAGTGTTCCTCAAGATACTACTTTTATGACAGTCCAAGTGGAACAATGAAGACAGTATCTTCAAGTTTATCTGCCTATCACCCTCCATTCATGTGGTCCAGGATTATATCAGTGTATCCTTCATATCCCATGAGAACAGGAATCCATTGCTAATAAGAACTGAACATCCCAAAGACCCAGACCTGGAAATGTCACCAAAAACTGCTCACCTACAGGGAGCCCTAAGATATGGTCGGGTGAGGGCAGTCCAAAGCGGAACCTTCGGGTGTCGTGGTTGATTTGCTAGTTAAAAATCAAAACAAAACAAAACAAACAGGTTCTTTTGGCTCTCTAGGAGCTTTGAGAGTAGGCCAGATACTTAGAAAGGCACTCCATTTGGCCCTGAGGTCACTGCTCACCCCACCTTCCCAGGCAGCATTCCCCCCTCCTCCCCCCTTTCACCTAACAAGAAGGTTTAGGTGACCCACTACCTCCTTCTCAATCAAGGGCAGGGGGTACTTGGCTTCAGGGTCCTGTAAGGTGATGTGCTCTTTCTTCTTTGAGCTCATTTTCTCCAGTGGCCCCGACGACACCAAAGGCCAACAGTAGGGAGTGGTCCTAGCAGACAAGAGTACAGACCTCAGATCTCACCCATGTTGGGCTAGGCAGCTCCAAGTTATGTCTCAAATGACTAGCAGGGGGGAAGGTATTAACACAAAAGGCTGCCTGTGAGGGCCAGAGGACAGAGAGGACGCCCGCCCCAGAGGGCTTCAAGCCCTTCTTAGCCACCTGCCTCCATCCTGGCTACAGCCAAAGATGCAGTGGTTGGGGAGGAGTGAGGGCATTAGTTATAACACACTGCCTGAGAAAGAACTGTGCTGTCCTTGCCAGGTGGTTGTGGCTAGCAGCAGGGCTGGAGACAGGGCTTACCTCTCCTGAGACTTCCCACTCACTTCCGACCGGCTGATGTAGTGGAGAAGTGAGTGGCTTGGGGACAGCACCTTCCAGGGCCAGCAAAGGAGGCAAATACCCACCTGCCAGAGGTGTGGCCCATCTCCCCACAACAGCCCTCAGCTCCGCCCATTTCCCTAACCAGGCCAGTTTGTTCATATCCTGACCTGTTCCGGAAAGGTCCGCTGCTGCCCAGTTCTCTGGCCCAGAGGCCCAACATCCCCCCTACCAGCTGGGAAACCGCCCACGAGTCCTGCTCAGATATCGCCTCCAACCCTGGATTCCTTCCTGCCCCGCGCGCCTTTCCGGGGAGGGGGAACCCACCAGGAGTGAGATGCCCAACTTCTCCTCGAGCTAGACAGTGCCTCTTGCTCGTCTGGATGGCAAACACCGGGCATCGGCTAGGACGGGCTGACTCCGTCCTGGATAGCAACATATTCAGGCTTTTGTGTCATGTGACTCTGGCACCGCTCCAACTCTGAGCCTCCGAGGTTGGCCCTGTAGGGATGGGGCACATACTCGCCTCCAGATTTCCTATTCATGACAGGGATCCCTCTGCATCTTAAATCATTTAAATCACCTTGTGCCTCCCAGAACCAAGTGTTTGCAGGGTGGGGCTGACTGCAGCCTGTCATGCTCCAGGACAAGACTCTATGGGAGACAGAATGAGAAGTCCAGATACAAGGATTCTTCACAATGCACTTCAGAACCTTGGTTTCCTTTTCCACTCTTGCCAATGGCAAAAGTAAACTCTCGTTTCAGTCTGAGAGAGCCAGATGCCTGTCAGCTAGGGCCACAATAATGGAAGACCACAGACTGTCTAGGTAGAGGGGGCTGAGAATCCAAAGTCAAGGGATGGGCCAGGTGTGGTTTTTCGGAGGCCTGTTGGGGAACAGAGAGCTTCTGCCCTTCTCCTTAGTTTTTCTCTTTACATCATCTACCCTCTCTACGCATGATCCTGAGTTCAGTTTCCCCTTTCAGTGAAGACCTCAAGCATACTGGATTATCTCCCTTACCTCAGCTATCTCCAACGAAGACACATTTGTTGGTATTAGGAGCCGGTGTAAGGTAGGAATGTGAGAAAAATCAGCTCACATCACCACACCACCCTCCATTCCAAGCAATATGCTCAAGTAGGCACACAGTGACACCTTCCATGATTCCTTCCTGGGCCTCAGGTCACTTCCAGATAACTTGATGTTTTGACAGCTGAAGTGTTTAAAATATAAAAGTCAGGGCTGGTGGTACCTGCCAGAATCCCAGCTGTTTAGGGGGTTGAGGCAGGAGGATCAAAAGTTCAAGGCCTGTCTGGGCTACAGAGTGAGTTTAAGGTCAATTTAGGCAACTTAGTAAGTCTCTGTCTCAAAACTTAAAAACAAACAAACAAACCAAACAACAACAAAAAGAAAGAACTGAGGATATATAAGACACCATTAACTTAGCATTAACTTCAGTCTCCGGTATGGAGAGGGCATGATAGGCTGCAGTCAGCCTCACCCTGCAAACACTTGGTTCTGGGAGGCTCAGGGTAGCCGCTCAGGAGACATGTTAAATTAGACATGCAGTCACTCTAGTGCTCTTCCTCTAGGCTGTAACTCCCATTTCCTCAGTTTGCACTGTAGACAAGTTTATAGCAACCTCTTTCTCCATCTTGCCATGGTGTTAACAAAATTGGGGGGCTGAATTTTCCCCAAGGCTAGATTTTTACAAGAAAAATCAACTCTTGGTTGAATAGTTCATTCCACAGGAGGTAGTTAAAGCATCTTAAACTTTTTTCAGAGTTTATCAAGATTTTATAATTGTTAGTGCTGAGACTCTCAACTTTTCATAAATACATAGAACAAGTGACAGAAGGATGTTTAAGGCCTGTCAGAAGTTCTTTGAAATTCTGCTCAATCCTAATAAAAAAATTCATTTGTATTATGCAACTCAAGTTGGTAACTCAAACAACAATTTTATGTATTTGTCTTTTCAAGACAGGGTTTCTCTGTGTAGTCTTGGCTGTTCTGGAGCTTGCTCTGTAGACCAGACTGGTCTCAAACTCACAGAGATCTGCCTGCCTCTGCCTCCTGAATGCTAGGATTAAAGGCGTGTGCCACCACCCTCAAATAGCAGTTTCAAAAAACAAATCCTGCAACAGAATCCAAGCCAAAAGAGATATTGATTTGATACTTACATGCTAAAGAATGATGGTGGAAAAGTGATAATTTTGTTTTTATAATTGGACATTATATTTCTATAAAAGCATGGAATGCTGTTGAATGGGGGGGATAGTAAAAATACTTTAACTTCTTCCCTGTGTCTCAGACTGTGATTTAGAATCCTGTGGCAGGGAGATGTACCTCGGCTGTCTGGGGAGCCTGAGATGATTGGGTCCTTCAGAGAAGTCAAGACAGAAAAGTCAGGGCAGTAAGAAGACACCAGCAGTGTGGAGTGATGGAGATGGAGGAAGGGGCTGCAGGCTAAGATGCCAGGTAGTCACTAGAAACTGAAATTCAAGGACTTGAAAATTTCTCCTATAATCTTTGGTAAAAGAACGAGCTCTGTTGGCTCCTTGACTTTAGCCTGAGCAACTGTTATGCTTCTAGGTTCCAGAACTGTAAGAGAATAAATATATGTTGTTTTAAGCCATGGAGTTTGTAATACTTTGTTATGATAGCAATACATTAAACAAACTATTTTTTAATTTCTATGGACTTCTTTGTAATCTTTTAAATATTTAAAAAGTATTTTTCCTGGCTCAGGCATTTCTTTCCCCTTTCCTAATGCCCTAATTGCTTCCATGGCCAACCTCTTCTCTCAAAAGCTGCCTCCTGCCTGGTCACAACACCAGCTCATTGTCTCTGCTAGGCCACGTGAGCAGCTTTCCTCTTTTTTCTGGCATGAGCCCATCATTTGTGTACTCCGCTAAAATGTCACGTAGGACAAAGAATTGCAGCAGCCACATTTATTTGACTGGAGTGAGCTTTATGAGACACAGGGAGAGCCTAGACTACTCTAAGCACCAAGCTGACCAATGCAGAGCTGGGTTTTCCCCTTGTTGCTTCTTTAAGGATTTGAGACGAAAGTATATCTGGCCAGGATTCCCCACTGAGCACTGCAGACAGGGACGGAACAGTGGCTGTACTTGAGTTTTTGAAATGCCTTCACCCAGACACTCATAACAGAAATGCGACTATGGTAGGGTGGGAATGCAGCTCAGTTGGTAGAGTGATGGCCTGGATGCATGAAGCCCTGGGTTTGATCTCCGGTACAACATAAACCAGGAGTGGTGACGTATAGCTGTGGTGCCGGCAAGTGGAGGCAGAAGAAGCAGAAGTTCAAGGTCACCTTAGGTTATGTAACAATTTTGAGGACAGTCTGGGCCGTAGGAGACCCTATCTGAAAACAAAAAGAAGGTGGCCATGGAAAACTTGGCACATTTCTGTGGGACCCCAGCGATTGGCCCAGGCAAGACTGCAGAGAGACAAAGGGGATTGAGACTCCTGACTGCTTAGAGTTGGTGTGAGACCGAGACTGGGGGGAGTGAAAAGAACAGCTTGCAGAATCCTATTCCTGTGGTCCTTCCCACTCCCAGGGATCTCATTCCTTAACAGCTATGTCTGCTGAGCTATGCAAGGGTGCTAGTCATGCTCTCCACCAATATTTACAGCAGTTGCATCAACCCTTCCCAAACAGCATCTGTTGTGGCAGAGGCTGAGATCCAGCCTCCAGAAGGCAGTGACTGTGAGTTCACAGCTTGGAGCAACAGCAAGTTGCTGGGAAAGCAACTGCTGTTCCTAGGGGGAACCTGCCACCTGCACAGGGTTGTACCATCTGGGGATGAGAGCTTCAGGCCCCCAGTCAGAGAATGAGGGGGGGCTTCAGGAGGAGGGAAAGGGATGGTGCATGAGGAGAAATGAGGTGACATGTCCCAAATATCTTTTTCAATACAGCTGGGACTGGTGTAGAAAGCTTTAACATTTTCCTCTTCTCCCTGTAAGTGTTGGTTATTTCATTCTATGAAATAACAGACACACAAGAGTTAACAAGAAGGTGACAGAAACACAGAAGCTCTCAGCAAATTCTGAGTTTCACTGAAAGGGCCAGACCATTGTCACTTGTATGTGACTCAAAGGAAGAGGGTCTTGGGGCTATTTGAGGTGGTGAGGTGACAATGCAAGCCAGGGGATGGCCAAGGGAGGAAGTGTAGGACTAGAGAGATGATTCAATGGTTAGGGGCACTGGTGGAACTTCCATGGGACCCAGTGTTGATTCCTAGCACCCATCTATGTAACTTCAGTCCCAACGGGTCAGATGCTGCCTCTTGGCTTCTTTGGGCACACAGACATATATGCAGGCAAAAGCACTCAGACACATACAATGAGAATTCACAGTTAAAAACTTAATTTTTAGAAAGGAGAGTGAGGACGTGTGTGTATAACTGTCCTGGCAAGAGGGAAGACATTCTGGAAGCAGACACCTGTTCTTTGGCTCTCAGACTACTGATACAGTTGACCTCAAGGAAATGGAATTTCTCCAGGAGTGCTGTGCTGGGGAAGGAAAAGCTGGAGTGGAAGCTTGTCTCTTAAAGAGAGTCACACAGTTGTGATGACTTGCAGGATGGGCAGGGAGCTAGGAGACAGTGACAGAGCAATGATAGGACTGCACTTTGGCCAGGATTGATTGGTTACACATACCTTGTGTCCTCAATTTAAACTTAAACCTCATGTCAGGGCCCTGGAGAAAGAACTGGGTGGTCACTGGATCTCCTCACTTGTTCCTCTTCCCAGTGTGGTCACACTGAATCACTTTCTCTGCTTTTTGTTATCACATGTCTTTTCATTAGTATGTTGAGGGTCACTATCCACATCTGGCCAGTTAGGCTTGTTAGACCTCTATCCTAAAAACTCCGGCAACACAAGGCTCCAAAGATTGTCTTATAAAGCACAGTTACCCACATGGCAACTCTCAAATGACCCGTGGTGATCTCTACTGGGCAGGCGGTAGGACCCTCCCCCTACCTGTTCTTCCTGTGAAAAGGTCTTTCTTAGATATACAGGTATATACATCTCAGAGGACACATCTCTGCCTTCTTCCTCAACTTAATTTACAAGCATACTTAGATATA